ACGGAGATTCCAGATTTGATATTTGCAATGTTGCCAGATTTTTCATTTCTCTTATATTATTAGTCACTTTGGTTTTTCAAATTGATCATCCTGTACATTAAGTCATTATTGGAATCTCTTATTCAATACGAGTTCAACCATATGTAACACTTATGATTTTATGTAGTCTAGAAGGTCTTAAATAAATAAAACAGAAGTCTGGCAACGCCTAATTGTCTCATACATTTTCAACTACATTAAAACGTAACAATTGAAAGATTACACCATTTTTAACATAATGGTTACTTTATCAAGTGTTCAAGATGTGCTTCATTTGTGAGTTGACAGTACCTTAATCGATGATAGAGTGCATTTACCACATTTCTCCATGATTGTTTTATTTATTTAAGACCTTCCAGACTACATCAAATCATAAGTGTTGCATATGGTTGAACTCGTATTGAATAGGAGATTCCAATAATGACTTTAATATACAGGGTGATCAATTTGAAAAACCAAAGTGACTAATAATATAAGAGAAACGGAAAATCTGGCAACATTGCAAATATCAAATCTGGAATCTCCGTATCCAAAAATAGGTGTAACCCAAATTTTGTACAATTAGGACTAGCAATTTACGAGATAATTGGCCGTTTCCAGACTTTTGGGCCACTCCGTATTTTACGAGATAGCTGAATTCCCTGATTTCTTATCTGTAGACGCAGAGATATATCATCTTTTTTAAATCAAACCTTTTAACTTGTTTTGTATAGGTACGTATCATGTATATATTCTTATTTTGTTAGTTTATTATTTATTTATGCAAAGGTAAACAAAAATTATTTTCTCTACTACCGTGCGTAAAGTACGTACTTTACGCACTCTACGAAGTGTGTAAAGTTGTACTTTTTTTCACTAGCGCGTAAAGTAAAACTCTTTACGCAATAGTTAAAAAAAGTAAAATTTGACAAAATTTGTACATAACAACAAAATATAACGTTTTATTTTATATTAACATTTTTTTGATATCTCCTTCTTAGACAAATAAATAAATAATTTTTGCTTATATCTATTTAGTGTCCAACAAATTATCAACAGTTAATTTTAATTATAATTTTCTCTAAATGTCATCGATTTAATTAAAAGTAAACATACAGTGGATGTCGATTTTGGTAAAAGTAAGTTGGCCGTGGCTGTGTGGATTAGAAGAACTGTCAATCTCTAAACTTTTAATTAGTACCTACCTTATAACAGAACACGATAAAAGTATACTTAAGTTCAAGATTAGATTCTAAAGCCAATTTAGCATTTTTTTAAAGTCAATCAAGTTTGAGAAGGTAAAAAGTTTTACTTTTTAATGTTTGTTTACTTAAATTCAAATTTTATTTGCAGTTTATTATATCTGTCATAGTCGATATGGATTCAAATTTATCTAGCGATAGCGAATTTGATAATACTCCCCCAGATATCTTATGCAGTGCACAAAAGGCCACTGAAAATTTATTGCCAGAAAAATCTGCATATATTTATCAGCAAAAATACAATGCATTTATAGAATGGTGTAGGAAGAATAAAGTGACAAAATATTCGGAAAACGTTATTTTAGCATATTTCTCTGATGAATTGAAGAATTGCAAAGCTTCTACCCTATGGTCGATTTATTCTATGCTTAAAAGCACCTTAAAATATAAAAACAACGTTGATATTTCGAAATTCAACAAGTTAATAGCGTTTCTCAAACAAAAAAATAAAGGTTATAAACCAAAAAAATCCAAAATTTTTGAACGAGAAGATCTAATTAATTTTCTGTTGAAAGCTCCAGATTCCAAGTTTTTAATGATCAAAGTAAGTAAATGCCTCAGTAAATGCTTGAATGCTCAGTATAAAATTAAAATATTATGTAAAGTTTTGCAACGAGATGTGTGTTCGTATGGTGTGTTGCCTAACAAAATCAGTTGCTGTCCTAACAGGCCACCGGGGTTGTTAGGCAGCACATTATACCTAAAACTTTTATATTTTTTACAATAGCATTTATTTGGAGTTTTACATGCGCAACGTCAAGATATTTCCTAATGTTTAATAAATTATTTGTAACATTAAAATATGTTATTTTTTAGGTAGCTTTTATAATTGGAATTGCGGGAGCTTGTCGCCGGGAAGAATTATGTAAAATGACAATTAACGATGTGGAAGATAAACAAACAGTGTATATTGTCAAAGTATCAGAAACCAAAAATGGAATAGAACGCATTTTTACGATTTTAAATTCAAATAATTCAGCAGTTGATTATTTATCTTTCATAAAAAAATATACCTTATTAAGACCATCAAATATAAATTGTAACAGATTTTTTTTAAAATTCGCAAATGGAAAATATTCTAAACAGCCTGTAGGGATAAATACTTTTGGTAAAATGCCAAGTGTTATAGCAACGTATCTAAACTTGCCCAATCCAACGGCTTTTACAGGATACTGCTTTAGGAGGTCTTCAGCCACTATGCTGGCAAATTCTGGAGGAGACCTTCTAACGGTCAAAAAACATGGAGGATGGAAATCATCTGCTGTTGCAGAAGGCTACGTAGATAGCACAATAACACAAAAAAACAAAATTTCTAACAAAATTTTGATGGATGTCAGTATACCATCCACTTCCAAACAAAGCTACAATTTTACCGTTGACAACTCTAATGAAGAATTAGTGGAACCACTCGACAGTGAAACTAGAGTTACACAAAATATTTCAACCTCTTTACTTGAAAAAGCCAAATCCATACCACTCGAAACTCAAAATAGGGTTACAGAAGTAATATCACAACATTTTTCAAACTCTGTGCTGGAAAAGGCCAAAACCTTAAGTTTTGGTAATTGCAATAATTGCACATTCAATATTAATATTCATAAGAGTTAAAAACCTATTTAAATATTTCTTCATTTGTTAGTCATTTTGTTCTGTAAGAGTTATAAATTTGTAAAGTTCCAATAAATTTATTTTTGTTGCTGTGTACAATTTTTGGCACATTTTACTTTTTTTCACTAGTGCGTAAAGTAAAGTACTTTTTTTCACTAGTGAAAAAAAGTAACTTTTATATTTCTAATATTAGTGGATTATGTGTACGGTAGTAGAAAAAATATTGTATGCCACTCGTGTGTAAAGTCCCTTTTTTGACTCATGTGATTGTCGCACTCGCCTACGGCTCGTGCGACAACATTCACATTCGTCAAAAAAGGGTAACTTTACACACTTGTTGCATAAATAACTATTATTGTAATTACATGTTGCTTGGAAATATTTTTATTTATGCTATAAAGTAACAAATATTTGTCGTATTGGTGGTGAAAACAGCTAAGCCACACACTTATTAATTGGAGAAAATGGGTAAATAAGTTTGTAACTCTTAAGTTAAAACAACTTTTGATTCAAATCTTAAGTGTTTATTCACTAAATATGATTTAGTACAAACGAAAGAGATATTTATTTTCACCTGCTTCTTTCAGTTTGTTGGATTTTAAGGTTATAATTACATAATCGCTTATCTTTCTTTATCACTGAATTTTTCAGAATTGTTTTATTTATGTGATATCTCATTTTGCCTAAAAATGTGGCTTATCTCTTTTCACCAGCAATACGACAATATATTAGACGAGGATAAATTATATTTTTATATATAAAGATTTTACTTTTCTACAACATATTGAATAAAAAAGAGATTGACCTACTTGTTTAACTATTATTGAAGGAAATTATATAGAAATTAAAAAATATGCTCAAGTTTAAATCATTGCACTTATTTTTAGATAATTTTGTCTTACTTTGTAGTTTTAAATAAAACAACTAAAGTTAGTGTATTGAAATTTTTTTCTATTTTTACAAATTTTATGCCTGATTATAGATTTCTAAGTTAGGTATGCATATTTTATTAAAAAACGACTCATTTTTTTTAGCAAGATATTCTGATGTATGCTCGAGGGCATCTTCTGTGATTACTCTCAACTTTTCGTCTAGGTTTGTACTTGAACTGATGATTAGATTTCCAGGCACAACAAGCCTGTTAATGATAATGAACTGCTTAAATCTGATGTTTTTTTTTCAATATAGACGTACCATGTACCTAGCTGTAGATTCACTTTTTATAAAATTTCAGGAGTTATATATTCTTTTTTAGACAAGTCTGTAGTATTTACTTATGCTTCTAAAATTCCTAGAATGTCATTAGGACATCAGGTACAAAGGAAACCTAAAATATAATATTTTTAAAATGTATTTTTAGTTCGATTAAGTATAGTATACCTCTTTTATAAGTATTTATAAGTAAAATGTAACTGGACATTCGGTTAACTGTTTTTTTTTTTCGTTTACGACGTTAATCTACACCATTCTTTGTTTTTATGGTAGTTAAACAATTTTTGTATTGGGTAGGTACCTAATGAATGAAATATTTAAATTTACACCAGGAATTATAATCTGAAACGAAGAAAATGGTTTATAAAATAGTTTTCTATTTTATAGAGGCTCCTTACCAATTCTACTCAAATGTATAAAAAATAAAATAAATAAAGCTGAAAAACAACCATCAAAAACATGACATATGACAAGAAAAAGTGACAATTGACATAAACATGAACGTTCCGAATTCAGATTAGATGTTCATAGTACTTTTCGTGGATACTTTTTTTAGCAAATTACTTTATTACGTTGTGTTAACATAACAGGTAGGTTAAATAGGTAAGTAACAAATAGAAGTTTTGCGAGCTTTTGATTTCGCTCAACAACTTCTCATGAACGTTGCATTTACGTTGTATAGTAATGTTATTACGTTCCCTTAAAGCAACATCCCGAAAGGCTTGGCAACGTTATGTGCTAGCTGGGTATGGGCCAGACGCGCCGTGCGAGGTTTTTAAACGCACTCCAGGGTAAGGGATATTTGACTTTCACAGCCACCTTGAGTTCAAATAGTATATCGCTTCTGATCAAAAATATTGTCCAGGATTTTTCGTTCGTATTGTAAATAAAATAAAGTTATACTAAAAATAATTTATTTAAAAATATATTTACAACAATATATGTACAGTACATTTGGTCCAGCGGTTGTTTACCCGTTAATCATTAATGTATAAAAATTGCTCTTTTAAATGTAAAAAGCAGGATAACTTTAGTTATTATCTGTATTTTGAGGAGCTAAATATGTTTTGATAATCGAGGTATACCGTCAGTAAATTTGACTATAGTCGCCGAGCCGAAGGGATACAGTGATCACATATATTTTATGTGGATGTCATCCAAAATTGAGTGACCGATTGCCTTCTGAAGAATGTTAATATGTGTGTTAATATTTCTAAATTAGTAAATAAATAAATAAATAAATTGTACAAATAATTATATTATTATTTATGTAAAAATCATTACATGTACGGTTCATCTCCCATAATTATCCTCCTGGCCTTTAACCTGATCAAAGGAGATTTCGAGAGTCCAGCTCTCAACACCTTTATCTCTTTGGCGCGGAAACTGTAGTTTCAAAATTAAATCGCAATCTACTTGAAAGGGACACTCGTAGATGGAGAGGGGGTAAAAATATGAGTAGTAAAACTATTTAATAAAATTCGCGGCTATATGTCCCTCTCTTGTATGTATCAAGGAGAACTGTGAAGGCACCTAGGACGTATATTTATATTCTGAGACATCAATGTTCTTTGTCATCATAATTCCAGTCGAGTTTCTCATGAAATGGAACATCCTATAGAATTAGACATTCCAAGGACCTGTCAAAATGCTGCCCGTGGATAATGACAGGTTATGATATGGCAACCCTGTGGTTCTGTTGTCTTTGACAGGGTCAATGAAACATGTAGTTATACATATAGATTGCTCAAAGCGGGTTGTTTTGCGAGCGGCCATATTGCAAGTGTTCATTAATCAGAATCAGTTTAACAAAAATGTGTTTTGAAACAAATATTTTCAGCCTTTGATTATAGTAAACAAAATAATTACCTACATTTTTACTTTAAGCCATAAGCTTATGTTTATTTTGAAAAACATAGATGATCAGTCTATATAACTATCTATTTCATCGATACTGTCAAATCACCAGACCCACAGGGTTGCCATATTATAATCTGTTATAACCTATGGGCATTTTGTTTGGAATGTCTTCAAAGAAATAATTATTTTATCTTATATAGAATTTCTTCATTTAAAAATGGAAAATGTTAGTCGGAATAAAAATATTGTACTAGGTGTACAATTGTACCAAAATTGGAACAATTTTATAATTCACTTATATCTGCTCGTCACTGCTCAAGCTTCATTGCTCATTTACAAATTTCGATAATTGACAAATGACACTTCAACAGGCATAAGTGACAGTTGACAGTTCTATATATTGTTCTTTGGTACAGTCAATCAAAAAATTTCACTTTTTAGTTTATTTGGAACGACACTGCTCATTTCGTATGCATATTAGATATGAAGTACGTGTAAAGAATGGCTGGACCAACTGAATATTTGCTTCATTATTGCAAAAAGTCAATACTATAAAGTAGGGGCGTATTTATATCCCATAACACCCGAATTCCAAGTCCTAATTAGAATGTTTTTGGACATTATTACAATTGTAACGAGTCATTTCTGCTAAACAGCGTTATGCCTGACAAATACTTTTTATTTTTATTTTAAAGTAGGCATATCTAGGTCTTTTACATAATCTAATAAATATTTAAGTACACTTTACAAAAAAAGACCTTTCTTATTAGGTTTTGACGAACGATGGATTTTCGATGCCATTCTTTTCTTTCTTTTCACTCTTTTCATCTTCGATTTCTGGAATGGTTTCTTCCGAAACGTCCGAATCTTCAAAATTGACGTATTTATATCGCATGGCCATGAAGGCGAAGATAACAATGTCTATCACCATCAAACCGGTGTAGAGGAAGAAGTCGTTACTCTGAAAATTTGATAGAAATTCATTATAAAATAGACGAAAAAACAAGATAAACAACAAATAGGGACCGTGCGTGAAATATAGAGGCAGCAATACTGCCGAAGGTAGCCCTCTCTAGTGTTTAATTTTAGAATTAATTGGGGTAAACATTGCAGTTAACACATTACAGGATATCTTTTAAAATATTAAATATAGTTAAATATAGATACCGGCCCGTAACAAACAATCATATACATGGTCAAAATGATATAAAATGTGAAAAATTATTAAAATCTGGACATGTATATACTTTTTGAGCAAAAAAATTTAAATGGCTAAGTGACAATAAATTGTAAAGTTGTACCTTAAGTTAGTGTATCCAATGTCAAAATATCGGTATTTAGTAACACTCAATTTAAAAGTATTACAATGGGTCCTATGATTGAACGTTTACGTTATCCGTAAACGTACATGTTAGGCCGAGTTTTAACATTAACGAGGCAAGTTCGTATGATGGAAACCTGTTAAATTAGAACATAACAGGTGGAAAATAATAGTAACGTGTTATGAAAAACTTTACATCATACGAACTTGCCTCGTTAATGTTAAAACTTGGCCTAACATGTACGTTACGGATAACGTAAACGTTCAATCATAGGACCCAATAACATTTAAAAAATGTAAATTAATAAAAAAAGATTGAGAATAATAATTCTTTTTAGCTTTATGTCAGTCGAAATGTCATTCAACCACCTATGACGTTTATGAGACACCCAATGTATGCATAATTATATAGATTTCTCATCCACCTATAAAAAAGATTACGAAAAGCGTATTGATGTATTGCCTTTCCTAGTGCCGTTCTAGCCCAAATGTGTTTTAAAATAAAATTTAGCCTTTTAATATTTAAAAGAAAAAAATAATTAAAGTTTTACTTCAAGACACAAGAGATCTAAACAATTTTTATAACAGATGAATGTAAATAATTTTAGACCACTCTAATTTCAGAAATAACACTATATGAAACACATCATTTCAATATGTAATACAACTTTTAAATTTAATGTAAACAACTTTGATATGAGATAATAAATACTTTTGTTAAGAGTCGTAATTGGACATTTATCTATTATTCTAAGTAATGTTAATGTAATGGTAATGTTACTAAAAAAATTTACAAAAAATTAGTGGATTTTTAATATTTTAAAGTTATGATTTGTTTATTTTAGTGATAAATGAAAAATAGTAAATAAATTGTATAAAGGGCCATGATATTTTTGTCAAATTAAACATTCTAATTTCACAGTAACATTCTTCATTAATTTTAATTAACAGAATAAACCATTAATTTTTTTTTTTTTTTTTTTTTTTTTTGTGTGTGTCATCGGCTTCAACTGCTAAGGTTATTTCGCCTCGTGTTCTGTGTAGGCTTTGTTACTGTTTCCCAGCGCCACTTTAGGAACAGCACTGTTAATTAGAACCCAACAGTGAATGGTCGAGTGGGGAATCCTACCAAGGCATCAGAATTAATTTCAAATAATTAAATTAAATGAAAAAATCCCGGCCAACGGTGGGATTCGAACCTGAGACCTTCCGATCTCAAAGTTATGACTCTAACCACTGAGCCAACCCACCCCCCAAAAAAAATCTGTAAAATTATATTTATATAAAATGTTTATTTAAATGTGTAAAAATCTTAATGACAAGAAAACACTAAAGACTCTAATTTCTAAACCGGTTCTGTAAATGATTTGTTTACAATTAAGTGCTCAAAATTGATTATAGATAAAAAGAAAACTTTGCCCAATGAAATACGCTTTTCGTCGTCTGATTTACGTATGGATAAGCAATATATGTAATTATGTATATCATTGGGTGTGAGACGCAAAGTGTGCTCTGTGGAAATTTAAAAAATTTCTTTACTATCGAATCAAATCCAGGTATCCAAAGTGATGTGTTTGTACATCCACGAATGCAACAAGTTTTTTCGATAATGATATTACGAAAATAATTCGACTTTATTTAATTAATAATTACTAAACAATTAATGCCGTATAAAACATTAATAAATCCCCCCCATAAAGTTCACATTTTTGTCACCAGTTGGTGTTAAAGTCATGACGCACGGTCCCTATAGTCCAAAAATCTTTTATATTTCGAAAAAACTTAAAAACTGGTTAAATTACAGAAAATAATCGTTTTAAGTAATAAGACGGCCAAACAGGTGTAAAATAAGAGAAATTCATTATAAAAATCAGGCGCGGCTCGTGAGTTATTGTAGAGGTGGGTCAAACTGTGGTGGATAATGCCGCAGGCAAAACCGCAATGGTCTGAACTAGAAAAATTTTTTTGGAGGGTTACACACAAACTAATTTTTATTAATTTTTTGTTTTTTACTATTAAGGTGAGTACAGCACCCCCTTATAATTTTCGGACAAGCATATCTCAAAAAGTAATTTTTTTTAAAAGTTAAAATTTTGGCAAAATAAATTAGGCAATAATATCTAAAATATGCCTATATTTTAAAGTTTTAATTATTATCAGTTTCCAAGAAAAAAAATCAGAGGGCTTTAAATTTTAAAATATCATAATGAAAATAAAATTAAAAACACTTCTAATAAAAGGTTTTTCAATACTTAACATTGCTAAAGCTTCCAACCTTGGCTCTCCCATTGTATTTCTTAAAATAGTCGAAAAGCACCGTCCACTTTCTACTGTAGTTATTGGAATAGTACATAAAATCTCCAATAATTTTACACTTTCCGAAAACGTTTCACCCAGGTTCATTTCTAACAACAGCTGTAAAATGGCAACAGCACCCGCACTGTTATAAAAATCTTCACGACTATACAGGGTGTCCCAAATTGTTTTACCCAGGCTATAACTTCTAAACCATGCAAGATAATCGAACCGGACAAAAGTCATCCATTATATTTGGCGGTATACTTTAAAATAAATTAAAATTTGACGACCCACCCTCAAAAAATCAAAAACTACCCCCTCAAAAATTATTAACGACACCCTAATTTTTTTTCTGCTCATTTTTGTAGTCGCTAGTTTTCTCTGTATAACTGTTTTTAAAATTTTAAAATCGCTCCATAAATAAGTGAGAAATTAAATAAAACTCTATGTAAAGTTGATGATAAAAAATACTTTATTAGGTGACACATTTGTCAAACCTTAACAATAAATAAATAATTATCATATCGGTGTATTCGTTGGAACTAAACAGATTAGGCATTTTGAAATAATTTGTTAGGACTTGACAAACTCTAAATTATTGCAAATTTTATTAAGTAAAAACTGCTAACTTTATCGAGTGCACTTCTGTTTGACAAGAGACAGATTGATATAGTATTGTTTATAATGCGCTAAAAAACTTACCATGAATTTGACAGCAAGCAACTTGATGAAAATGAAAAAAATAACGAATCTCAGTTATTTATTAAGCGATTTCAAAATTTTAAAAACAGTTGTACAGATAAAAGTAGCGACTACAAAAATGAGCAGAAAAAAATTAGGGTGTCGTTAATAATATTTGAGGGGGTTGTTCCAGTGGGGTAGTTTTTGAGGGTGGGTCATCAAATTTTTATTTGGTTTAAAGTACACCGCCAACTATAATGGATGACTTTTGTCCGGTTCAATTATCTTGCATGGTTTAGAAGTTACAGCATGGGTAAAACAATTTGGGACACCCTGTATAAAACTTCCAATTCAGATTTGAGTTTAGATTTTCCAAAAAAAAAAGATGAAAATGCATTTAAGTTGGCAAAAATATTCTTATATCTTTTTGCTTACTAGCGGCTTTTTGGGTTTAATTGGTGCACATAACAGTACACAAAGTGTGCTGATGGATATTTTGTTTTAATATTTTTTTGGACACCTCCAATTTTGCATGTACTTCATGTCATAATGCCTGTGCCGTAATACCTTTGGGTTCAATAAATTTCCAAAACCTTTCATGAATATTTCCACTCAATACGTACCGAACTATAAAAACTAGTTGTGTTCTATTTGAGCAGTCTGTAGTTTCATCAGCTTGAATAGCCACAAACCTAGAGCTCTTTAATTTTTCCTGTGTAACCGCTAAAATAGACTCTAGTATTCGTTCTGTATTGTTTTGGAAACTCCTTTAAATACTGTACTATTTTTAAATGTCCTTTAAAAATATTGTCTAGTTCCGAAACAAAATCTATTAATCCACGAAAGATTCCAGGATTTTCCGATAACTCTGATTCATCATACCCCCGTAAAGCGAGTTCAAATGAACCGCAGAACTTTACACAGTCAATAATTTTGCTTAAAATATAACTATTTTGCGTTACCTTATCATTATGGTCTTTTATAGATTTACGATAAGCATTATTTAATTGAGTTCTTATATCAACGCGTCCAAGGCTACCGAAATTCATAGCATTCATATTGTATGGTAGAAGAAGAATATTTCGCCACCTTTTCTTTTAAATGTTTTAAGTCAGTAACGCCAGTTTTAGTCCATAACGAATCATCAGTACAAAACAAAGTAGAGAGAAAACAAAAAACGTTTTCTTTACATTGAATCCACAAATCCAATCAGAAATGTTGTACATAGTTGGCTTAAAATACCTGTTAATTTCTTTCCCTCTGTGTTTTGTGGTTTGTTTTAGATCTATCTAGAAGAGGTTTTGGACGTCCTTTTTCTTTTATTTCTAAACGTATTTCAAAAGTCAATGTGCCGCTTATCTTACACGGAAGTATTTCTTGCACAGTCACAATAGAAGTCACTGATAAATAATTGAGAATATCTGCAAACTACCATAACTACACTATACGATTGCACTGTCAACGATATCTCAACAGATCGTCAAAAAAAAAAGAAAATTTCGAAAATCCACGCATCGAAACACAACACGAAACAATAATTGAAAAACGTAAACCACTTTAAGCCGAACCTTGTCTTTGGGATTTTATCACAGCAAGCTGTGATTTTATTTTCAACTATGATGCGATGCTGCGTACGTTTGTAAGCCTGTCATATATATTTTGCATTTTGGGTCTAGGGCCGTCGACGATTACTTGTCTCTTTTCAGCTGCAGAGCGGGGCATATGCTGTTATATATCTGTATTACTTGCACTACATTTATTCTTGTGAATTGCATTTTAGAGTCCATGAGGTCAATTTTAAATACGGCCAATTCGAGCCAAGCGGGCGCAGTATAGAAATAAATTAGTCATTAGTAATCTTGGCGACACTGGTAATAATTGAAGAGTTTTTGCATAAAAATGTAATTACATTTTTGTAAAGATAGTTTATTATTAAATATTAAAAATTATTTGAAATAAATTAGGTGGGTCATTGACCAAATGACCTTATGGGGAAGCCGCGCCTGATAAAAATAGATGAAAAAGCAAGATAAATAACAAATAGTCCAAAAATATTTTTTAATCCGAAAAAACTCGAAACTCATCACTTGACTTGCGGAAAATATTTTATTGGCTATAAGTGGCGCTTTTATATCACAAGGGAGTGATGTAATCGTTTTGCCTATTTCAAAGTTGTAAATTGATTCTACAGGGTCGGAGTAAGATGCAATGTTGAATGTATCTCAATCACATACTTTGATTTTCTTTTACTATACGGAGAATGGTCGCACTGCGCAGCTTTCTGAGTGCCTTTTAAAAGGAGATAGAAAACTCCGCCATTTTGAACCCTTATTACGTGTTGCCTACATCTTGGCGCAATATATTTAATAGGTGCGTTTTAATCATCCGCTTCTGCTTCGGAATTGTCGGTTTTCTAGTTTTAATCTGACAGGTTAGAATGACTGAACCGACAATTCCGGAAGCAGAATCGGATGATTAAAACGCACCTGATATTTTGCTTGCTGCTGTCAGTGTCAGTGAATATTATTTTTGGAGTCACAGTTTATTGCTAAAGAATCAGTTAGCTCACTCGGACCAGTTGAAAGTTCCAAAATAACATCCACTCCAGGGATACAAATTCAGGATACGCAGAAGACTGCTGTTTTATTATGGGCGGTTGTCATATATTGTATTATCTGAGTTGCGCAGTGTATAAACTGGAACATTGAGATAAAAAGTGCCGACGCAGAGTGAGCGATCTGATTCTTTAGCTATAAACTGTGTCATAGGGTTCAAAATGGCCGCGCCCTATGTTGGGCGTGTCGGACCTCTCTCTTGCCCCGTATAGTAATCAAAGTATGTGATCTCAATACTGATGAAACAATCTTATGTTAGTAGTACCTCTACTGGTCGCTGGAAGGCAGATGCGCCATCGTTCTAATTAAATTTTCACTTGGAACTATGTTTGCTGTTTGACTTTCACAACTACCTCGAGTTCAAATAATAAAAAACGGAGTATATGATCAAGATTTTTCTTAAATACCTGTTTATCGAATATTTTAATCGACTCGATAACGACGATGATCAAATTTCCGAAGGCCGTGGTCAAAAGGAAGCACGCTTGCAGTAAGGATTTCATAGTAACCGGCGCTTGGGAATAGGAAAACTCCAATCCGGTAATCGAGAACATAATTTCGCCGGCCGTTATGATGAAGTACTGCGGCAGCAACCAAAGTATGTGAACGCTGTTGGGTTCCGTCACTATTATGCTGTTCGTTATGACGTCACTGCCGTTCTAAAATGAAAACGTGATATTATTATTAAGATTTGATTTAAAAATGTACCTGGGACCTATTTCCAAACTCGAGAGAAATCAATTCATGACAAATATCATATGTTAACGTGAAAACAGTGTTTTAAAGCCTGTGAGGATTAAAATTAGGGGAATTTTAATTCTCTCGAAATAAACCGAGAGAAATAGTCAGCGAGTTTTTACTGGCTTTGTAATGAAATCAATTTTCATTATTATTATTTTTTAACTAATTCCGGGTATTAATTTCGATTTTTACTTAATTTTAACTTCGTGGATATGCCCTGTATATCATCTGTATTGCCGTTGTTCGAAAGCATCGAGATACTCTACGTGTGCGCGTGGTAATAGTGGGATTCTCTGATGTGGAAGGGCATGCGACGACTGAACGAGTTCCGAGATTAAATTAAAAATTTGACTTGCTTTTACACCGTGAAATCGAATAGGCGAATAATTAGATACGATACGATTCCGATAAACTCTAAATCGAAATTCATTTCTAGCCGCGATCTTGACGATAGGTAAATTGTTGTCATTGTTTTTATAATTTTTTTTCTTGCCCGAGACTTCAAGCCGTGCTATTTGAAACCGATTTAATTTGATTTACTTTATTAATTAATTAATTAATTAACAATATTCCGTGTTGAGTTAAGAATTGAAATTTGTTTTGATTAAGAAATACTTTAATTTATTCTTGTTAGAATACACTGTTCTTTATAAATTTCATTTTAGTTTATTTAAAGTTTTAACCGTTAAATAATTTATTTTTCATTCGATCGTAAATATAGTCGTAAAGTTAATTTTTCCTACTACTGGAAACTTCCGTGAATAAATAATAAATTTTATTTTAGTTTATTTAAAGTTTTAACCGTTAAATAATTTATTTTTTATTCGATCGTAAATATAGAATAGTTAATTTTTCCTACTACTGGAAATTTCCGTGAACAAATAATATAGTTTATTAAAAACATTATCCAATAAATAATTAGTTTGAACTGTTTGGGAATTGTCTAATGTTTTAATTGGTTATATTAGTAGAATTGCGACGAGACATTTTCTTTTGTTTTATCCTCCGAACCGCAAATTTTAAGAGAATATGAATAGCATCATTCCTTGTCTGAAGCGGCTCGTGATTACGATCACTTCATCCAGAGATAAGGTGTTATCCCGGTTATTAGTTTATTTTACCTCTTAAACATTTATTTGCGCAAGTCTCCGTTATTTCAAGAGAACTAAAATAGTATCATTCCCCTGTCTGAAGCGGCTCGTGATTACGATCACTTTATTCAGAGATAATGTGCTATTCCGGTTTACATAACAACTAATAAAATAAAAAAGAAAACTGTAAATTATTATTTTGGCAATCTGTCTAAAGTTACGGCGACGTCAGCATAAATTTCTTCTTTTTTCTTGCCTTCTTCTTTAGTTGTATGGGCTCAGTTTTCACTATCACTATCGCCAAGATCTGCAATCTAGGGCCCATATTTATAAACAGAACTTACTTGAGTCGGACTTGGGTAAGTCGTCCTTGAACGAAAATCGAAGTTCGGTTATATCGCGTGAATTTAGAAATGGGTAGTAACAAATCCGTAAATGTATTTAACAGTTACAAATTTGCTAATATCCATCTCTAAATGCCAGTGTAACATCGGATCCACCTAGAACTTTAGAGACGTTGTAACCGAACTTCGATTTTAGTTCAAGGACGACTTACCCAAGTCCGACTCAGCTGAGTTTTGTTTATAAATACGGGCCTAGATCTACATGGCTTGCTAAGCGCGCATTAGGTCTCTCTGGCTGATTTTTGTTAAATTAAAACCTTTTTTAATGGGTATCGGCTGAATTACCCAACAATGATAAATACATCTATTCACTTTGAAATTTAAAGTAGTAAACAAAAGGTGCACACCTACCTTTTAACTTTACTTTTCATCACTTTCTTTGTGTTTCTAAGCTAGTATTTTGAAAATAATGCAAAAAATAATTCAAAAACAAAACCAGAGATTGTAACCTCAATTTGTTTTGTTTTTACAAATTTTGACATGACACATGCCTAAGAAAAAGAACACTCTGGGACCTGGCACTAAGGCCCGTATTTATAAACAAAACTCAGCTGAGTCGAACTTGGGTAAGTCGTCCTTGAACTAAAATTGAAGTTCGGTTACCACGTCTCTAAAGTTCTAGGTGGTTCTGGTGTTAAACTGGAATTTAGAGATGGAGATTAGCAAATATATAACTGTTATGTACATTTACTAATTCGTTACTACCCATCTCTAAATTCACGCGATATAACCGAACTTCAATTTTCGTTCAAGGACGACTTACCCAAGTCCAACTCACGTAAGTTCTGTTTATAAATACGGGCCTAAGTAGATAGAGATGGTGAAAAATTAAGCACATACAACTAATAAAGAAGACAAAGAAAAAATGAATACCGCCGCCGTAACCTTAAACAGATTGCCAAAATAATAATTTACAGTTTTCTTTTCTATTTTATTAGTTGTTATGTAAACTTATAGATGGCGCAAAGATTTTTCAATGACCTTGCAACTTCAAGATGTCTTCCATTGAAATCATCTATTCGGAAGTCATTTCCGGCCGTTTTGTTTGTTTATTTTTGTTCAGGGTTTGTACATATTACCGTGAGGGTGGGCGTTGAAATACATTCATATATTTTTTTATGTTGTAAATAGCTCAAAACAATATATGTGTCAATGTTAATTTGCCGTATTACTGGTTGTTAATTCCATACTTTATTTCCCCCTTGTATTTCAGCTAGTGATAAGTTATGTACCCGTTACTTGTGGCCTACTATTATCTGTGTCTAAGTGACCTTTGACCCCTGGAATTTTTTATCTCCATCTGTAGCTACCCGAGTACTTTCGATGCAGTTTCGAAAGTTTGTGGAGTAAACCATCACCAAAAATCAGGCGCTCGAGAACCGCCCGTAACCAGCGCCATTCGTAAAGAACCATTTTCTCTGTGGCGAGAAAACCCCTTACAGCTTTAAAAATATTATTTCCACGTTGACATATGACATTTCCCGTGAAAATCTTAAGAGAAATGAGTATTACCCCATAGTTTGAAAATTGGTTCCCGTCTAAAAATTATAAGGTCTGTTGCAACACGCGCGAAAACCGTAATATTACCGTACAAATCATGAGCTGTATAAAATTTTTGGGTAGAGCGCATGATTTGTACCGTAATATTACGGTTTTCGCGCGTGTTGAAACAAACCTATAGTCCCAAATTAGGCATTCCAAATACCTGTCAAAAACTACCCGTAGGTAATGACAGGTTATGATATGGCAACCCTGAGAACCTGTTGTCTTTGATAGGGTCAATGATACATATATATTTATATAGATTGCTCAAAGCGAGACGCTGTTCGAGCGGGGTCATATTGTCTCGCAAGAGCTAAATAATCAGAATCGTTTTAGCAAAAATGTGTTTTACAACCAATAAGCTACCTATATAATAAAAAAAATTATCTACATTTTTACTTCAAAGTATAAGCTTTTGTTTATTTTGTAAAAAAAATTGATGCTTAATCTATATAACTATATAAACATTGACTCTGTCAAATAACCAGGCCCACAGGTTTGCCATATCATAACCTGCCATTACTAACGGGCAACCATTTTGTTTTTTTGTTGTTTAGTTTTAATTTTATACAAATATTGTAAAATCTATTACCTATATTTCTAAATAAATAAATTTTAAATATAAAACGAGAAAGTTAGTCGTTACTTCCTTTAATATTTAATTGCAAATTACCTGTTTTATCATGACAGCGTAGACTCCACCCAATTTAAATACCACAAATTTTCCTGTGGGTTTACCATTGATCTCTATTGAATATTTTCCAGGAGAGGGAACTTCCACGGCAGTTGTTGTGTTTTTTGTGATTGTCGATTCCTTTGAATTTACGTATTTCACTGTCTGATCACCAGCAAAATCTAAGGTTCTGAAAACATTCCAACAATTTTTTTTAATATTTTTTGTTGTGTCTTTAATAAATACAATTACATTCACATTTGTGGTGTTTGTTTAACGTAACGTAATTATAAACAAGTTTTATTAATATTCTTTTTTAATTTTTTAGAAATATAATTACATTTACATTTGTGGTGCATTAGTTTTACACGAATCAGACGCATAAAACGTAATTTTAAACAATTTTTTATTGATCAACTGTCAGAAGTGTAACGAAGTCACTAAAATTTCCATTAATTTATTCCCTAAATTAATTTGTAAAACTAATTTCCGTCTATGAACATTTGCTAATATTTCCATAGAATTACCGTTTTTAATCCATTTTCCATTGATTTCAGTGATTTAAATTTCACAGTTTTTTTAAAATTTTCTGTTATTTGTATATTATATATGTATATGTAAGTTTCATTATTTTTTTCAAACCTCTTACTTATACAGGGTGTTATTGAAATACACGTACATATTAAAACTGGGTATTGCGCAGATCCCCACTGAATGTAGAAAAATATTATTTTTTAAAAATACCCCTTATTAAGGGAGTTATTAATTTTTGAAAATTAATTCTAAAACAAACGTACTTCACTGATATGTTGAGGATGACCTATATAAATTAGGTTTATTTACCTATTTTAAACATCAACAGTAATTAATATGCAAGTTTTTGTCAGATGATAAGAAAACTAGTCTTGTAAGAAATAACCATGTTGCCAAGATTTTCGAATTAATTTCTATTTCCGAAGACTGGTTTTTACTACCCTCGTTATCAAAAAACTAGAATATTTGATAAATGATTGTTTTTAAACTATACATTTTTGAAACTATAGATTATTAAAATTTTAGTTGATTTACGAATCTGGCTAACACGAGCGCGTCATTTCCAAGTTGGTAAAAAGTGTTGTTACGATTACTTTTAAATATTTTTTTATGGAGCAGCTGGAGAAAATTCTCGGCAAGCACAAATCCTGTATCGCGAACGGTTTTCAAATCGGAGAATTCCGGACTGTCGTACGTTTATTTCAACTGTTCAGCATCTAAGAGACCATGGAAAATTTGAGAGTGTCAATGCAGATCGAGGGAGAACAAGAACACAAAGAACATTGGCGGCCGAAGAAGAAATATTAGAAGCTGTTGAAAACCGGCCTCAATTAAGTTGTAGAAGACTAGGTCTTGAAATTGGAGTGTCCTCATTTGTTGTGTGGCGGACACTTAAAGAACAAGGTTTACATCCTTATCACATCCAAAAAGTCCAGGCCTTATATCCAGGTGATGAAGAAAAGAGAGTGGAGTTTTGTGAATGGATGATTCAAAAATGTGTTGATATTCCTGATTTTCTAAAAATATTATTGTATACTGACGAGGCTTCATTCACTCGTGATGGCGTGTTCAATATGCACAATACGCATATTTGGAGTGATGAAAATCCTCACGCCATTAGGGAAACTGGGCATCAAAGAAAATGTTCAATAAATGTTTGGGCTGGCATAATAGATTTAATCGGGCCTTATGTTCTCCCGAACAGATTAAATGGGCCAGGATATCTCCACTTTTTGGAAGATATTTTGCCAGTACTCCTAGAAGAGATACCGTTACAATTAAGGCAACGGATGTGGTACCTACTAGATGGCGCTCCTCCTCACTTTGATTTAAACGTACGGCAGTTTTTGAACATTAGATTTCCTCAAAAGTGGATAGGCAGAAATGGACCTACTAAGTGGCCTCCGAGATCTCCGGACTTAAATCCATGCGATTTTTTTTGTGGGGTCACATGAAACAACTGGTTTATAATGAACCTATTAATAGTGTTGAACAATTAACCAATAAAGTTAATGCGGTAGCCGACGAACTACGACAAAATCCAAGACTAATTTCTAATGTTCAAAGTTCTTTGGAAAGACGATTGCAAGTGTGTGTAAATAATAATGGACGGCATTTTGAACAATTACTGTAATAAACTTTATTTTGAATTAATTGGTTTTGCTACGGCAACAGTGCAATTTCTATGGGTAAGTTCAATTTCGATTTATTTTACTTCTTTAAATATGGAAACTAGTAGGTCGGAAAAGGGGACTCTTCCCCAATATTTAAATTTTAGAATTTGAAGTTAAAATTGGTGCCAATCGTTTTTGGTCATTACATACTATTCCCCATTTTAATATGTACGTGTATTTCAATAACACCCTGTATATTTTTCAAGTATTTTATTATTATTTTAAAGATATGTTCAATTAAACTACCCATATGTTCAATTAACCTACCCATATGTTTCAGTTAACCTGCACATGGGGTTAACTGAACCATATTGCAGGAATGCAAAAAATAAAAAAAATAGGCTTCTTTTAATAAACTGTGTGTCAGCTGTATTTTTTTTTCCATTGTTATATGATCAAATTATATGCCCTAGACAAAATTTTGGTCTAAGCTTTCATACCGGAATATCAATCAGATGGTTTAGTTAACCCCATGTTACCCTAATTGTTTCATCGAATATTCTTGGTAACGGTAAAAGTAGAAACCGTAAAAGGCCCAAATAAGACAGAGAGGGATTTATGGGATTAGAGTTTGACTGAACTGGCCGAAAATGGCTTGCATAACAATACTTATCAAACCATTCACGTAGAAACTGCCAACCAACTGCTAATAAAAAAAGAAAACTCTTTACCTTACAACTGCATTTCCTTTTTTATTCTTGGCAACGTCATCTTTGTAAATTTCAGCGCTGCCTTTTCTAGTCAAAATTCCATAAGCCTTGGCCGGATCTAGCTGATGCACTTGAGAAAATGGCTCGAAACAACTCGATTCAAAATTAAAAGTAATATTTTTGGATTCTGGGAGTTCGATTCCTCTGTATATTCGGTAATCATTCGATTCTACTTTAGAGGTAAAATTGTTGAAGTCTGCAGTAACAGTAACGGGACAATCGAGGTTTGGGTTGTACAATCGAAGCTGGATATTACCGCTTGATGGTAATATGGGATCGGAGTTTTCTATGGCAATCGATATCAAGGCTGTTATTGCGAAAGCAACTGCTGCCAAAAATCCGCCGCAAATCTGAAAAATAGATTGGATAATCAATTATTCGCTCCGTGCGTGACAGCGGCGCCAATTCATTTATGTACTAATGGACTGTTTTTGGGTATGACAATACAATTTTTAATAGAATTCGTAATTAAAAAGTATATATGTTAGTTTTAGTAAAAGTATATATTTTTATCGGCTAAACTAAAAAAAAATAAGTATAATCAATAAATATCAATAATAAAATATAAGCAGGCAACAGTATTTACGAGAAAATGTATAATAATAGCCCAAGCGGGGATTTCGGGATTTACTAAAGCGCGACAGATTAATATACAGGGGGATACCGTGTACCCGGTTAAGTACCTCCACCAAATATGAGCCCTATATATAAGGCCGCCCGTGAAGGATAAAGGATCAGATTAGTAAAAAAAAATGATCATCAGAAATTCTCGGGCGCGTCACATTAAGGTAGGGTGAGTTAATTACATGCTAAAAAGTGTATATTCCACTAATTTGACAATTTGAGAGTGACGTAAATAAAGGGGAGGGCAGCAAAGTTGTAAAAAAACGTCATCTCGACATTCTCGCGCGTAGCTAAATTTTTTTTATTTTGAAGGAAATAATTCAAGGATAACGAAAAATATATAATCTGACGATTTCCGCAAGCCGAAATAATAAAAATTCGTCGATAAAGTTTAATGCGTGCAGCTGCGTGGTGCCTAAGTTCCCTCTCCGCGTTTCTATTCCTCTCTCACTCAGTCCCGGTTTATCCGCTGATACTGACATAGTGCTCAACATGTTAGCGAATATGGAAAACCTGCAAGCAAGAGTAGAAGTTTGGATGGATCTTGGAGTTGGCAATGCACGCCGATTTATCGACGTATCCGCTCTCTACAAAAAATTAGGCCGAAAAATTTTGAAGCCGCTTCCAGCTTTGCATGCGTTCACTGGTTGCGATTTCAACCCAACATTGTACCGACGAGGGAAAAAGAAACCTTTGCAATTTCTGATGAAATCAGAAATTTTCCAAGAAGCATTTCTAGATTTGGGATCAAAGGAGCATAATGTGCAGGATTCTTTTAGCATCATACAGTCTTTTACTTGCCACTTGTATGGGTTGAAAAAGTTAGACGATGTCAATCAAGCCAGGATTGTCATCTTCAATAAGACGTACAAGGTAAAAGACAAATCATAACCCTTCTCCTTGAGTGTCAGGAATTACGATGCGTGCAACTTGCCACCCTGTGAATCGGAGTTACTCCAGTAAGTGTTACGCATAAGATTCATTGCATGCTTGTGGAGTAATACCCATAATGCAAAAATTATTGATCTTTTACCAACGGACTATGGATGGAAAGTTGTCGACGGAAAATTCAAAATGATCTGGTTTGCAGGTGATCAATTGCCGAAAGCGTACGAAGATGTAGTCATAATACCTGATATTCTTGAGGATACTCCAGAATCTGGTATTTATTTTCTCCAATAATTAAAAAAACACGATTTATAAAAAAAAATATTGTTAAATATTTTAATGATTTTTTGTTACAGATACGCAATCTGAGGGTGAAATTGAGCCAAAAGAGGAAGATGATTCTACTGATGAAGAATTTTTTTGAGCATTTTTTTAACAGGTTCGACTGATTTTGACCGGTTTCGGTTTTAACCGGATTTTTACTATTATTATAACCGGTCCGATTATCCGGTTAACCGGTCCACATATCTGGTTAACTGGTCCGATTATCCGGTTAACCGGTCCGATCAAACCGAACTGGTCGAACCGGACCGGATTCGGCGGTTTAAACCAGGAGCTGGTAACTCAAATGGAAAAACATGAGGACGGTAATTTAGTACCACTCCAATTAACGGGATGGCGCTCGTATCGAAATGTCATGTCAGTTGTCAGCTTGTCAACAAAACTTCATACTTAAAATGGCTGTCGCTTTTGAAGGTGTATTGAATTTTGATTCATCTAGATTTATTTTTCAACATCTTCCAATTTTAAGCATGTTTTCAAGAGATGGGAACATGGATTTCAGCAACGAACAATGAAGCACTCCCAGATATTGGTAGTGATGCAATTTATACCACGTATTAAATATGCGGTCGTCATATTAAGGATAAACATAAAATTTGTAATAAGTGTCTTAAGAAAAATGCATCTTGTACTGGCATATCAATGGTAATATTTACAAACTTGTTTTTGATTCATAAAATAATTGGTTTGTTATTTAAATTTCTTTTTGTTTTCAGTTTTTAAATGATCATTGTTATAAAGAAAATGTTGGCCCTTCAAAATACTCTGTAGATCGATGAAATATTTGAGCCTTAGCCAGCAATATCAAAATTTGATTCAATGCCATTGACATCAAACAAGAAAACACCCCAAAATCTTCAAAGGTCCAAACGTGTGTAAGTTTAATTTAAGCTCGAAAGTTAAATTCATTTATCACAGTGCTCAGATGATGAATAAGAATTTGATAACTACAGGTGCTGTACAAATAAATCAATAAAACAATATCGGATGAACAAATGTTCCTCAACTTAACTAGTCGACTCAATAAGCATATGGCAAATTTTATCCACCCTCAAATTCACTTTGATTGTAAGACACCAAAAGGATGATGCTTCAGTTTTTTCAAACTTTGCCACTCCAAGTTGCAAAACTGTTATATTGGTCTTGAGCACTTAAATATGTCGAGTTTGTTACAGAAAACCTATTTCCATGTTTAAATAGACAAATTATATGATGCGGCGTTAATTTACTGTAATAAAAAAAAAAATAAAAAAACATTGCATTTTATTTCAAGTTTGAAATTAATGCAAAAATATAATGAAGAAAATCAAACAAAAAAAAATAAATTGGCAAAATATTTGACTAGTTTCAAATCACAAAACAGTCAATATGGTTGTTTTATGATTTGAAACTAGTCAAATATTTTACCAATTTATTTTTTTTGTTTGATTTTCTTCATTATATTTTTGCGCGACTAGCAGAAAGTTAAATTTCTAAGCGGTCATATTGAATTTTAGTACCACTCCAATTTGATAGATGGCAGCACATCGACTCAGAATATTACCATTCGCTCCGTGCGCGACAGCAGCGCCAATTTGTTTTGGTATTGAAGGAGTATTTCTGCCTATACTGACAAATACAATTTTTAATAGAATTCGTAAATAAAAAGTATATATGTTAGTTTTATTAAAAGTATATGGATTTATAAAACAATTAAAACATTAATTTATTATTATTATATATTTTTCACGCTTAAATTGAAGAAAATTATGTATAATCATTAAAAATCAATAATAAAATATAGGCAGGCAACAGTATTTACTGGAAAATGTATGAGAAGTTGCCTAAGTCTAATAAGTTGTCATTGAAGAAACCATTTATAATAGCGTGAAGTTAAAATGTATAAAAAGGATCGCTACTTATATTTTCATTTTTGTTCTAAAGAAAACATAGAATGAATGATTAAAACTGGTTTCCGATCAGTAAGTCACAAAATTGCATACCAGCCAAATATTATAATCAATGGCAGAAATCTTGAAATCTAGTCCTTGCTGAATGAACATTTAAGAATAAAGGGATATTAAAGAACATCGTAAAATGATAATTTATTGTTTATTTAAAAACTTTCTAGTTTCTGATGTCTACTATTTCCAGCATTACTGTTATTATCACAAAAATAAAGGTAATTTTTATTCTTATTGTACACCGATCCATTTATTTCTTTGATTTAATTTCCACTTTGTTAGTGAAATTTGTTATATAAGTTTCACTGTTTTTTTTGCTAGTATTTGTACAATTTTCAACACAGCAACTCCGGTTGCTTATTGTGTTGTTTTTACGTACTTTTTTGAAAAAAATTAAAATGTATACGTGTATTTGATATGCCAAAATTACAAAATATCCCCCTAAAATGCACGAATTATCCGCAGCTAGCGCTAGTATCGCTTTTGCTTCCCTTTCCATGACTTCGCACGGAGCGAATTCACATTAGTAATCTATGGTTTAAACGTAACCCGTCACTGGTTTATCTGTTATTGGTTTAACTGTTACCATCACCGGCTTAATTGTGGCATATTTTACATATTTTGGATAACTGTGGTGTAAATTTATTAAAAAATAATAATAGTCCAATTAAATAACGAAAAAAAGCCCCTTCGAGCTTACATTAATTTGTAATTGGATGAAACAAAAAGGACCTTGTGTATTTTGATGTGATCTTTCCGAAAAAAAGAAAAAAAAGATGTAGCAGCTTTTCAATTTTTTTTAAATTAGGAAAAACCGGGTTTTCCAGAATTTTCCATTGTAAAAATGCTAATTATCTGGGCAAGTATCATTCCGATAGTGAAAATAAATGCACCATTCGAAAGAGGAGGCAAAAATAGTTCGGAAATTCATTGCACAGGTAGTTTTAATGGCGAATTTCTCGCCGCCAGAAGTGCTTTTACCAAAAAGTTTTTTCGTTTTTTTGATCAGAACCATGGACATGAAATTTGCGATGAATTTGTGGCGAAATTATAAATGTTAGACATATGTGCCCATGAGAGAAGTTGCGTATTTTTTTGTTGGCTCTCAAATAAAATAAGTCCCGCGGCGATATCTGACATAATTTTTCGGGAATTCGCAGGAAACCAGAGGCGTAGTTTTTTTTAAATTTTTTTCCCATATGATTTTTTCCGGGTTTTCCGAAAACATCTAACAAAAAAAATATATTTGAAAAAACTAACTTTGCCATCGAAAAGAGCACAAAAAAATACACAAATAGGTATACTTTAAAAATGTTAGGAAATTAATCCTAAGCCTGAGTGTAAGTTCCAACTTGGTGATAAGCTTGCTTCTTGTTCACTAATATCTGGTAATTCTATATTTTGCACAAAACTCAAGAAACTCAAGAAACTCAATAAAATACAATTTAATAAATTTTAAGCCTAATAAGTTTAGATATGTAAGAAATTTAAAACTGGAAAACGCAAAAAAATCAAATTACAGTAATGTAGTGTATACACGAGTTTTGGATCCCGCGGAGCGCGTGTATTGGGACTTTTGTCGGGAGAATTCTACAACTTAGAAGAAACATACACGCTTTAAACTTTGTATACATATTTAGAAGACATGAAATTTGGGTTTGTTTAATTTTCAGACAAAAAAACTAAAAATTGTCAATTTTAGGCAACTTTTCTCAAAAACCGTGTTTTTTGGTCGTCACTCAATGAACAGTGGTCAAAAAATTAGATAAAATATATTTGCAGAATTTTCCGTAATGTAATCGTATTCTAGACACAATAGAGTACTCATTTTTGCGACGGGACAAATGTAAATTATAATAATGCTTAAGTGTAAATAAATTAATTAGTAATGTAAATTAATTAGTAATGTAAATTAATTAGTAATGTAAATAAATTATAAATAAACTTTTAAATAAATAGACTATTTAGAATTAAGCAATCGTTACAATATAATTATTTAGACCAAAAATTCCCCTTAACTTTTTATCTTGTAGAACACTTCCCAACAAACAATAAATTGCCGGGATATTGCTGGCCTCTTACTGCAATTGAAGGAAAAATGAATGCGACGATTAAAAGATAAAAGCCTACTTTTGGCCTTTCGATAGTGGCCCAGCATTATGTTGCTTGATGATGGCATTATGAAGGGTAAGTAACTGTATTAGGTAAAAGCATGGTAAAAGTCAAAAGGCTTATAACTGCCGCAGACCCAACTACAACAGTCCAGGAGGGCTCCGTCCCGCGTTCATTTGTGCCACTTCAAACTTTCGAATTTTTTTTTTTTTAAGAAAAAAAAAATTATTTAATTGTTTGATATCTTAGCCAATTATGTCCGATGTCGGTGAAATTCACACACACATAAGATTTAACATTTAAGAGTAAGCTTTGTAAGTGGCATTAAAAAAATTCAAATAGTTTGGCCGTTATAGGCAAACAATGAAATTAGGACCGCGGTGCATTTTGCCCTTCCGCCATATGCCCAATTTTGGGATTTCTCTTGCCTCCTTCTGGGAATCACTAGTCACATCCCTTAAGTTCAAAACGCATTTTTGTTTTTTCAAATATCTTAATTTTTAACAATGTTATAAAGAATTTAGTGTTTGAACATTTAACAAATTCAATTTTTCGACCTTCGTCGCCTCAAAATACTAAACAAATTTCAATCGTCCATACCGCGAGAACGGTGCATCGGATCAAAATTTCTCAAGAGACATAAAAATTAGCATTTTTCCTAAGCTTTTAAATGTCGTAAACTGCGTTTTAAAAATATTGATTTATTTCCGACATGCGCCTGCGCAAAATTGAAAAATTGATAAAATCCAAAATTTCGGCACTTTCGAAAAACTGCTACATTTTGTTTTGCCTTTTTTTGAAAAGATCACCTCAAAATACATAGAATTCATTTTGTTTCATCTAATTACAATTTAATGTAAGCTCAAAACCCGTAATTTAATTCGATTATAATTTTCTTAGTTTTGCTTTATTATTACATTTTTAATGTTTATATTAGTTTCTATTTTTTTATAAAATAAATACAGTCTTATTTTTAAATGTATATGTTTTATAAACATCGATGTTTATAAATATCGTTTTTTTCACTTCGGTCATTTTAATGCCACCGATACTTTATTTTTGGTATATCATTCGATGTCAGTATCGACGTTTTAAGAAATGAAAGGCTACTAAGAGCTCAAACTATACTTGTTCACGGTCTCGCTAAAACTCGTTTCGGGTACGGTTAAACCAGTTACGGCTCAACAAGTGACAGGTTTAACCGGTTCGATTAGAGTTACACCGGTTGCGGTTAAACCTTTTACGGTTAAACCAGTTATAAACCGTTCCGGTTAAACCGGTTACGGTTAAACCGGTTACGGTTTCTAAACATTCGGTAGGAATACTCTCCTCAGAAATACATAGGTTAACATTAGATTTTAAAATATCTTTAAATTTATTATTACAAAAAATTATTAGTTTGGAGGCATTTATGTGTAAATTGACATAAGCATTTGCGTTAAAATCACAGAATAATTGCGTGTCGTCAGCAAAGAATTGGACTGAACAGAGGTCCCAACACCGAACCTTGGGGTACGTCGGAGTATATTGGAATTGAGGTAGACTTCTGATCGTCAACAATAACCTTTTGAGAACGATTGTGTAGGTATGTTTTTATGAATCCTAAGGATTTATCATCAAATCCGTATTATGAGCACTTGGCAGAAAGCAGTTTGTGATTTATAGTGTCGAACGCTTTACTAAAGTCTAAAAGAATTACTGCACTCGATTTTTTCTTGTCCATGCTGTTTAGAATATTATCTGATAGATATGTCAGAGAAGTTGTGGTACTGAGGACCTTTCTGAAATCCTGACTGATGTAATGGAATTATATGATTTTGGGATAAAAATTCATAAATTTGCGAGTACCAAGGTAAGGTCTAATCGCCCCAGTTATATTCCTTTGGTAATAGTTTGGTTTCACTAGGTTCATGAGGCACTTTAAACCTCAAGAGCTTCGTGTATTTCAGCCTGAAGTACAGTGGTATATTTTCACAGTAACGGCAATGATGCAATTGGGTTTAACTCCGTGTACGCTAAAGCCTGTTCTCTTGTTAGTTTTAGATCCATCCATATACTATACGAGATCCCTAATCAAATATCTACCTCCTGCTTTACCTCCTTCAGTTGTAGTCGAAGTAGGTTAAGAGTGTCATGTGATCTGAACATATATTTAATATGATATCATTTACCTCATGTGCTATTATGGTATTGTAAAAGAATCTACAACTTTTCAATAAAATAATTGACAAAGATTTTTATTTCAACACGCAGTTACATAATAGAGCACAGCCGATCTAACTGGCTTCAAAAACCAAAGTTCTAATGCCTTGAAATGCATAAGAAATAACAAAAACAGAAAAAGTTTTGACTTGACTTCTGGCCAGCCGTCGATGTTGGGTCGAAAGCGTATTTCAAGGAAGTCAAAAATGGGTACAAAGTAATTTATTCAACAGGTATGTTTTGTATTTCCCAGTGAATTCCAGTTGTTGGAGATGTTCCGGTGTAGAAAAATGAAACTTAAAATTGCTTATGGGATTTACCACGGGAAAAGAAACGATTTTAGCCCAGAACCGGCGTAGTACATTCACTTAGTTTAGAATGCTAAATAGGACTTACCATCCGATGCAAAGAAACCTTCAACAGGTTCACTTTGGCCAAGAGCGGGTACACCCAGTACGTAAAAATGGGAATGAAAGCCAAAATCAGCAGGGGATTCACCACTTGCATTTGGTCCGGTAAAATCGTATAAAAACCGATGTCGCCGTCCATTCTGACGGCTTGCAGCGTCCATCCGGAACCTTGTTGATCATAGAGGGCCCAAAAGATTGGAAGCGGAATGTATAAAACCAGTACGTGAAGGGTGGCTTTGATGTCGCTTACTAATTGAGATCCGTATTGTTCTTCGGCGTAATCCAACCAATGGTCGCGTTTTTCATCTGATTTGATCTTACGTACAATGGCGTGCTGCAACATGAAATAATTATATCGATTATTACGCAAACTGGTAATTACCCGCCCAAGAATTTTTATACCAAATTTATAGGTACTAAAAATGTATTATTATCAAAAATACAGTCTTAAATATTATCGATGGCTCAATCAAAAACCGCCACAAGTCAAAAAACAAAGAAAATTACATTTTCGGTTTAATGGATGCAAAATATTACCGAGATTTTATTTTGAATATCGCCACAAACCAAAATATTCATAGAGATGTCCGAAAATTATTTAAAATCCAGCCACAAACTGTATCTAAAACTGCCTCAATTCGGGTTATTTTCTGCAAAAATGCCCAATTTTTTTACAAACTCCGCAATGACTCAAGTTAAGGTGCTTTCATAATCGTAATCGTTAATTTTAACAGCAAAACGTCGTAGCTTTTAAATAAAATACAAAGATTTTACGCCAAAAACAAAATAATTATTATAGTGTTACGCTGGTTTTTGGTATCACAATTTATTTGAACTCAACTTTTACAATAACTCAATTCAACTGACACAATAACTTTTACTGATAACATTAAAGTTTCACGTCTATCATAAAACTAAAACTCTGACGTCAGGTCGTCGCTTTATGTAGCTTGCCTCCTCTTCTAGAACCTTCTCGAACAATCTGAACTTTTCTTTGACAAGGAATGACATTTCAAGACTTTTAGGGAATATTCTATCTTCTTCATTTACTCGTATCTTTACTTATGATGACCGCAGCACGCTACATGATGCTGCGTAACATTGCTCCCTCCTCTCTAATTATTCGCCTCGAATAACTTGATTACTGGGATCTGGTTGGAGCCAACGGGGAGGATCTGAACCACGGTATGGCGCTAACTCCGTCTTTCTTAGTTACTAGGACCACAGGTGAGCACCAGGGACCAGAAGCTTCTTCAATGATATTTGCAGCCATCATGTCCTGTATCATATTTGCTACTTCTTTTTGTTTAGCAAATGGAAGTCTTCTAGGTGCTTGGCGTATTGGCCTTGCATCGCCTGTATAAATTCTATGCTGAACAAGACTGGTACGCCTCGTAGATTTTCCTGTCTCGAAAATGTCACAGTTGGTATTGATAAATTCTTTGACTTTTCTAAGTTCTTCAGCTGTCAGGTGATCATAATTTTTAACTAGCTGTTTTACGAAGCTGGCGTCAACTGAGTTACTTGTGGTGGCTTTCCACCGGTGTACATAGTCCTATTGCTTGTCCTTTCTTCAGTTTGAATGGTCTCTTCGTTAAATTGTTAACCCTTACTGGAATTAGTTGATCAACGTTAACGAGACATATAGCTACCAGAATTCCGTCACTCACGGATTATTCACTTTCTACAATGCCCACATGTAAGCCGTGTGAATTCTCGCCGAGACGACAGCTTCAGAATTTTGGGGTACTTCCATGTCTTCTTCTACTAAAACCTTTACCGGTTGAGTCTTTTCTTCCGAATTTAGGACAATTTCCTCGTTTCCAATTACCAAGATCTTGTTTTGAAGGTAGATGATAAACTTATTTTGCATAATGTCCATATCCAGGACACACTGATCTTTAATATCGGCCACCAGAAATAAGTATTCTATTAGTGTATTTCCAATCTGTACGGTTGCTGATATCTCGCCTAGAACAGGAGTAGTGTGCCCTGTAGCTGTTTCCAGAACTAAGCTTCTTCGAGTTGGTCGTGGTTTTCGATGCAGGATCCCTGTTCGAATGAAAGACTTAGTGGCACCAGTATCAAGGACGAAGGTGCCTTCTTGGTTATCGATATACCTCTTGATCAATAGATTTTGTTCGCTTTTATTTTAGGTGTAAGTGCAAATTTTGGGGCCCTCTGCTACAGCCGACGCCTGCCCCGTAGTGTCGACCTTTATTCGTTTCCCTGACAATTGTTAGAAAGCCGGCTAGGTGTGGGTGACCGGCTTCTCCGGGAGGCATATATGCTATAATTACTCCTTGTTGGACTTCGTGAAGGGCTTCGGGAGGTTGAATTGGGTGCATTTCTAGCATCATTCTCCGATTTTTGATTCATAGAACGAGCCCTGCTTCGACAGGTTCTTTGAAGGTGTCCGATTCTTCCGCAAATAAAGCATCTTCTGCTCTCATTTTGGCTATTTTGTTGCATATTTTGCAGGATATTTAGGATTTGTAAGAGGGTAGGTTGAAGGATAGTTTTAGTAGTGGCCTCTTCACTTTCCTGGAATCTAATTTCCCTCAATTTTGCGCGTGAAGATCTAGATATACTTTTTGCTGCCTCGTATTCCTGGGCTGCAATAAGTATCCCACTCAACGTCTTGTGGTGTTGTAGCCGAAGAGTCTGCTGAATTTCCACATCCTGTAGTCCATCAATGGATGCTTGTATGCCGATTTGCTCTAAGAAATCTTTAGGTGCCTGTGGATAGGCCAGATGCAGTAATATTTTAATATCGGCTTCAAATTCTTGTAGACTCTCATTGTGTTTCTGACTACGAACTTTTAGCTGGCTTTGGAATACCTGTTTCAAATGCTGCTGGCCATATCTTGTCTCCAAAGCTTAGACAAGAGATGAATAACTGGGTTCTTCTTGGGGAAGAAACTGTAGAACGGTTGCTGCCTGACCTCGCAGTGACACTATCAATGAAGCCGCCATCTCTTTCTCGGTCCAGCCATTGACTCTAACTGCATCTTCAAATTGGAGTCGATATGTTTCCCATGTTGTCTGACCGTCAAGCGTGGGTGGTTTCAGGGTCTTGTTACTTTGGTTTTGTGAGACTGGGGTTTGAATACGGCTTGGGTCGGTTACAGATGAAGACGAGGTAGTGTTTTCAGCTTGAAGGTTGCTTACGGAAGTTTGGCTACGAATTCTTCTCTCTAACTCGGCCATTTCAGCTCTAATTTTCCTTTCCAATTCTACTCTAGCCTCTTCTTGTTGTTCTAAATTAGCTTTTAAATTCTCTTGCTGTTGCTATAAATTAGCTTTTAAATTTTCTTGTTGATGTTCTAAATTAATCTTTAAATTTTCTTGTTGTTGCTCTAAATTAGTTTTTAGGTTCTGTAAATTGGTTTTTAGATTCTCTTACTGCTGTTCTAAATTAACCTTTAAATTATCTTGTTGTTGTATTAATAGATCTACTCGGCTGTTTAGCTGACCTACCTATTGCTTAAGGTTATCTTGGATTTGCAGCAACCCATTCATAATTTCTACCTCAGCTTTTCTACGCCTCCCTTCCTTCTCTTTTTCTTCATCCATTCTCTGTCTTTCCTTCTCCTCTTTTCGCCTTTCCTTTTCCTCCTCTTCTTCCTTCCTACGCTTTTTCTTCTCCTCTTCTCGCCTTTTCTTTTCTTCCTCTTCTTCCTTCTTACGCACTTCCTTTTCCTCCTATTCTTTCTTCCTACGCCGTTCCTTTTCCTCCTCTTCTTTCTTCCTACGCCTTTCCTTTTCTTCTTCTCGCCTCACTCTCTACTCCTCTGCTTCCTTCCTACGCCGTTCCTTTTCCTCTTCTCGCCTTAATCTCTCCTCTTCCATCTTCAAAAACCATGCTGGTGGGCCTGAAGTGTCCATTTCTGCTTCGTACTCGGTAGATCTAGTATTTACCATGAACTAGTTTAGATCCCACCGCTGTCACCAATGTTACGCTGGTTTTTGGTATCACAATTTATTTGAACTCAACTTTTATAATAACTCAATTCAACTGACACAATAACTTTTACTGATAACATAAAACTAAAACTCTGACGTCAGGTCGTCGCCTTATATAGCTTGCCTCCCCTTCTGGAAATTTCTCGAACAATCTGGACTTTTCTTTGATAAGGAATGACATTTCGAGACTTTGCGGGAATATTCTATCTTCTTCATTTACTCGTACCTTTACTTATGATGACCGCAGCATGCTACAGGGTGCTGCGTAACAATAGGCTTACAAAATTTTAAAACGAAATTTCTCAAAACAATAGCATTTTTGTTGTGGCAGTATTTGATTGAGCCATCGATATCACTACCCCCCCAAACTCTGCATGCTCCATTGCTTGCTTGACTTTGGTGATGAATCCTCCTATATTCACACTTAGTACGCATACAGGAAGAATTACTTACCGATATACATTTTCCAACATCGACTATAACGTTCCCTTGTGGTTTTTTAATTTTATATAGAGGTCTACCGAGGGCGAATATAACTAAAAAAGAAAAAATAAAGTTTAGGTTCAGCTATCATCGTTGCAAGTTGCAATAATTAATGTTTGGATTTTTTCTTACTCTAAATACCTTGTATAAGTGTGAATAATTTGTGTGCCAAATAAAAACACACCATTCTGCCATTGATTTGGACATATACGTTTTAAAAGTTTTAAACCAGCGTGTTGTACGTTTATTGGCTAGGTCATTGCAGAAAAATAATAAATATGATTCATTTATATAGGGTGAGATTATAAGTTGGCCCTTTGAGCCAGATTTAATCAACAATCTACCCAGCTAGCAAAGAACGTCGTTTCACGCCATAATCACGTTGAATTTTGGTCAAATACGTCGATGTGATTTTTTGACGCAAAAGTAACGTAATAATGACATTATTTTTGGACCAATTTGAGACGTAAACAGAGTAGTTGCGAACAAAATAAGCCTGTTTATGTCATTAATGCACTGCGAGTTTTTGTTATTCGTTATTAAATAAATAGAAGGTAATTCATACAACATCGTTTTTTAGCGGTCATTGTGACACCAAAATAAGACGTACTATTACGTCATTTAGGGACCAGTTTGTCACGTTCAGAAATGAGGCGTTAAAATACTCACGTAAACATGTCGATTCTATACCTTCATTGTTTTACATTCTATTTATTAATAAAATAATCTTTAGTGTTTATATTAATTTATGATTCTCATTTTAAATCTAGAGATTTTTAGGAATTTTCCTTTTCATATAAAATTTTATATTGTCGACACTGTTTGGAAATGTCAGATGTCACGTCATTGTCCAAGGTTCGCGGCATTCATCATAAATAACTAACATTTTATCGTTTGATTTTGCATATTTTTTGAAGATAAGTAGTTGGGAACTTTAGTGCTATTATTATTGTTTATATTAAGTATGTTTATAAGAATTCAATACGCTAACAAATACGGCAGCGGAGTATCAATAATCCACACAAAGTGGCTGACATCCCGAAAGCATGAAGTTCTTGTAAACGACAAGAATCTTTTATGAACAGCTTCTCCTCAGGAGAAAATTGGACTCTTTTTCCTATTTATAGAACATATTTTACCGAAGGTGAGTGATTTTTTATATGGTAAAGGTGCCTGTAGGTAGCCTAATTTTGTTTTAATCCCTAACATAGACATTAATATAAACATAAATTTAAGGATTTTAAAACAAAACCTTTTAAGTATACATATAATTTAAACATTAACATAAGATTTGACAAATCATTAAAAGTCGGAAAAAGACATGTGGTAGCTGCTTTTAAAATTGCTCTACTATCTCACAAATATTAAAAATATGTAAAAAAATACATTAATTAAAGCATTAAGTTGGATTTTATTTATCTTCACTATATTTATATTGTTTACGCTTATGTTATTCTGTATAAACAGGTACATTGAAATATAATGATAACTTTTATGATGTGAATGCTTAGAGAAGTAAATTAGGCTAAACACACCTTTAGGTAACTAAAATACCCATACATTTCTTATCTGACTAATTTTATGCATGCCAAGCGTTCCTAACGTCTAAAATTCCTAAGATTCCTAACATTCCATACATTGCAAACATTCTCCAATGACCTGTCAAACAGCTGCTGATTGTAAAGGTGATATTTCTAAGAGGGGTTGCGACTTTCATAGTTGCAAACATACACCTTATTTAAAATAATAAAAATAATAGAGAGTTATTGCAAGTTCACTTAAGGTCAGTCACTATTAGTGCGGCTCTTATTTTGACATCTGAGCATGCGTAGATCACTAACTTTAATAAAGATTGTGCCTGTCCTTAATAAGAGAGTTATTGCAAGTTCAGTTAGGGTCAGTCACTATTAGTGCCGCTCTTATTTTGACATCTAAGCATGCGCAGATGTTTATGTTCTAAAACTGTGGATGTTTAAGGGCAGCAGGTAGTGGCGACTTTATAGCTTTCGGATGCGCTCGTCATTTAAACCTTCTAAAATTATAATTTCTAATGCCTCTTTAACACATACTTTGATTTTCTTTTACTATACGGAGAATGGTCGCACGGCGCAGCTTTCTGAGTGCCTTTTATAAGGAGATAGAAAACTCCGCCATTTTGAACCCTTATTACGTGTTGCCTACATCTTGGCGCAATATTTTTAATAGGTGCGTTTTAATCATTCGCTTCTGCTTCGGAATTGTCGGTTTTCTTGTTTTAATCTGACAGGTTAAAACGACTAAACCGACAATTCCGGAAGCAGAAGCGGATGATTAAAGCGCACCTGATATTTTGCTTGCTGCTGTCAGTGTCAGTGAATATTAGACAGTTATTGCAAGTTCACTTAAGGTCAGTGACTGACCTTAAGTGAACTTGCAATAACTCTCTAATAGTAATTGGGTGTCCACTAACAAACATCGAAAAATCGAAAAATCGAAAAATCGAAAAATCGAAAAATCGAAAAATCGAAAAATCGAAAAATCGAAAAATCGAAAAATCGAAAAATCGAAAAATCGAAAAATCGAAAAATCGAAAAATCGAAAAATCGAAAAATCGAAAAATCGAAAAATCGAAAAATCGAAAAATCGAAAAATCGAAAAATCGAAAAATCGAAAAATCGAAAAATCGAAAAATCGAAAAATCGAAAAATCGAAAAATCGAAAAATCGAAAAATCGAAAAATCGAAAAATCGAAAAATCGAAAAATCGAAAAATCGAAAAATCGAAAAATCGAAAAATCGAAAAATCGAAAAATCGAAAAATCGAAAAATCGAAAAATCGAAAAATCGAAAAATCGAAAAATCGAAAAATCGAAAAATCGAAAAATCGAAAAATCGAAAAATCGAAAAATCGAAAAATCGAAAAATCGAAAAATCGAAAAATCGAAAAATCGAAAAATCGAAAAATCGAAAAATCGAAAAATCGAAAAATCGAAAAATCGAAAAATCGAAAAATCGAAAAATCGAAAATCAGAAATCGGAAAAATCAAAAAAACGAAAAATTTGACATTTCACATTACGTTTAACAAAAAAAATAAAATCTATAAATTGTGTTTTATTTTTTAAATAATTGAACGCCCTTATTGAAAACAGCCCAGAAATATTGAAGGTAAAATTTTGACGTACTCCTTAAGAATAACGGATAAAAACGGGTGCTTGTCGGGCTAATGAGATGCATTTAATGAAAATTAGTGATATACAAGACCTTGGATCAAATTTTTTAGTAAGCATCAGGCGATAAAAGTCTTGATAAAGGTTGATATATCACATAAGGTATTTATTTCTTAAAATCTTTAATAATAGGTATAATGAAAGCTTGTTCAGCTAATGAGATGCATTGTATGAAAATTAGTGATTTACAAGACCGATTAGCTTTTTTAGTAAATTTTTCCAAAACCAAAACAACTCGAAAATTTTTAATTAACGAAATTTTTTAATTAACGAAATTTTTTAATTAACGAAATTTTTTTAAAAAAAAGTAAAAAATACATCAGTAGTCGTCCAACAGTACTATTTTTAAACGGCCCAAAGAATTGGTATTAATAAATTTATCACAATGAAAAAAGATGTTGCCGCTTTTTTGAAACTATTTTAAAATTTTATAAGAAGGTAGGATTAAGCGACAATAGACGCAAATATTTTTACATGAACAGATCTAAGGGAGTTAAGGGATCATATAATTTTACATGGGCATATTTAAAAGGAACCAAATATTTTTATATTTTGGCGAAGTAAGGCGTCTAAATATTTTATATGAGCAGGCTTAAGAGGTAAAGGGGCTAACTATTATTGGATAAATTACTCGAACAAGTTTGTAAACCCTAATTAAAAGGCAATATAGAAAAATCAAGGCTTGTGAAAATCATCACATGGTATTACCTAAGTAATGCCAATGCTTCACAAACCAAAAAATTCAACGTCTTAATAATACTATCGGCTTTTGGTCTTTCGTTCTACGTTAAATCATTTCTCGTTTTTTTAAGCTACGAATTTACCCTTATGGGCTTCAGTCTCGATAAGGTGGGAACCTCAATTTTAGCGTCTCTCGAATTATATTTTTGTTTTAGTAATACGAAATTACATAAGGATACCACTGAAGCTGATCCAAGCATGTATACTCTGAATGATTTGTTGAATATCTGGACACTACTACTATATAATCCTTTTTAATTTATATTTTTTAGTACGTATTCTAAGAAGTAATGTTTATTTAGTAATAAATAGTTCAGGTTAGTATACTTACTGTTTCAATTCAGATATTTTATGCAGTAACAAGAATGCAATACCTATCCTTTTTTTTTATAAAACAAACATTTTGTTACAAAACGTTTTTTCATAAACATTTTTCTTATAAATTAAACCTTTTTAAATGAGTATTATGGTGTTTCTTTTGACGTCTAAACACGTTATCTGGTGACGTATTTATCACGTCGCTGTATGACGTCTTTCATTTGTGACATATTGCCGTCATAATCACGTCACCAGCACGTCATAAATTTGGTGATTTCGAGGTAAAATGTGACTTGCATTTCACGTGCTAGCTGGGTAATCATCTTTAAATTTAACAAATCTATAAAACAGTACTACTCGTATATCATTCAAACAAAGCACCCCATTTTGTAATAGCTAGAATCCGGATTTTTGTTTGTCATTTCAAGCATCAACATTTATCAACATTTTTCTCGCATTAAATGAAAAACTAAAGTATATTTCCGATAGAACATTTCAAATTTCATGGTCAGTAAATATAATTTGTTATGGTATTTTTTTAAACCAGCGTGTTTTATTTTCCATTTTCTAAGTAATTCCAGAATAAGAATAAATATAATTCATTCCTGACCTACTATATAGGAATATAAGTTGGTCCTTCGAGCCGGATTTTAATCAACAATCTATTCATCTTTAAAATCAACAAATTTACAAAACAGTGTCCACTATATTATTCAAAAAAAGCTCACCATTTCGTAAAAGCTTGAATAATAAATAAATTATTAATAATCCAAATAGTGTGTGGCGAGTTGCGTTTGTGTAAAGAAATGTGAGGATGTGGTCTCTATGGAATATAATTCAGAAATTGACATTTTTTTAATGTCCAGCATTAAACGTCCAAATATATTCCAGGAAGGTACGTCCTCTAAAAGGTCAAAATTGTCCCATTTGTATACTTCACTGAACGTTCTTTGGATATCGGAAGTCCAGAAAAAACTTATTATTGAACATCCAGACATCCAAAATTGTACATATATGGAATAGACGTCCAATGGACCAATTTGTGATATCTGAGTTTTAAGAGATGTCCAAACTCTATTATTGAAAGCTCTTTTTGAACTAACTGTTGAGAATTAGAACAAAATGTATCAAACATATATATTTAATCAAAATAGTGCCTTACCAATAGAAATGATCATCAAAACACCAGGTACAGCAAAAGCCAAAGGAAAGCAGCTGTCGTTTCCGAAGCAGTGCACGTCGTTTCTTAACACCGGCGTTAAAAACGTTGAGATCAAACTTCCTGCGTTAATGGAGAAATAGAAGAGCGAGAAGAACGTCGCTAATTGAAGTTCTTGTTGAGGCAGCATGAACTGATCTCCACCGAATGCGGACACGCATGGTTTTATTCCTCCTGCACCTATCGCCATGAGCAGCAGTGATATGACTGTGAATGCCTGCAAAATACAATTTTACCAAAATATCAAAACTCTTTAATATGAGACGGTTGCATAGTAAAAACATTATTTTAAACATTTTGGGTTAGTACTTTAGCCACTAACCAAAAATATTTAAAGAACCCCCCACTTTCCTTTAAAGTGCCGACCCGTAAAGTGGCGACCATTAAGGTAGCCACCGATTAAATTTTCTGAAATTTTGGCATGTATGCTACATTTAAAATGTACCTCCTCGAGCAGAGCGAGTAGATTTTTTGATCACGTGATAACTAGCAAATCAAATCATAGAAGCAAACTGAGTTTGGATATGTTAAAAGAATGGTATCGACCACAAAGCACATAGAGGTTCCACGTGAATGACCAAGGCACATACTTTGATTTTCTTTTACTATACGGAGAATGGTCGCACTGCGCAGCTTTCTGAGTGCCTTTTAAGAGGAGTTAGAAAACTCCGCCATTTTAAACCCTTATTACGTGTTGCCTACATCTTGGCGCAATATTTTTAATAGGTGCGTTTTAATCATCTGCTTCTGCTTCGGAATTGTCGGTTTTCTTGTTTTAATCTGACAGGTTAAAACGACTAAACCGACAATTCCGGAAGCAGAAGCGGATGATTAAAACGCACCTGATATTTTGCTTGCTGCTGTCAATGTCAGTGAATATTATTTTTGAAGTCACAATTTATTGCTAAAGAATCAGTTAGCTCACTCGGACCAGTTGAAAGTTCCAAAATAACATCCACTCCAGGGATACAAATTCAGGATACGCAGAAGACTGCTGTTTTATTATAGGCGGTTGTCATATATTGTATTATCCGAGTTGCACAGTGTATAAACTGAAACATTGAGATCCAAAGTGCCGACGCAGAGTGAGCGATCTGATTCTTTAGCTGTAAACTGTGTCACAGGGTTCAAAATGGCCGCGCCCTATGTTGGGCGTGTCCACATACTTTGATTACTATACGAGGCAAGAGAGAGGTCAGACACGCCCAACATAGGGCGCGGCCATTTTGAACCATGTGACACAGTTTACAGCTAAAGAATCAGATCGCTCACTCTGCGTCGGCACTTTGGATCTCAATTTTTCAGCTTATACACTGTGCAACTCGGATAATACAATTTATGACAACCGCCTATAATAAAACAGCAGTCTTCTACGTATCCTGAATTTGTATCCCTGGAGTGGATGTTATTTTGGAACTTTCAATTGGTCCGAGTGAGCTAACTGATTCTTTAGCAATAAACTGTGACTTCAAAAATAATATTCACTGACACTGACAGCAGCAAGCAAAATATCAGGTGCGTTTTAATCATCCGCTTCTGCTTCAGGAATTTTCGGTTTAGTCGTTTTAACCTGTCAGATTAAAACAAGAAAACTGACAATTCCGAAGCAGAAGCGGATGATTAAAACGCACCTATTAAAAATATTGCGCCAAGATGTAGGCGATACGTAATAAGGGTTCAAAATAGCGGAGTTTTCTATCTCCTTTTAAAAGGCACTCAGAAAGCTGCGCAGTGCGATCATTCTCCGTATAGTAAAAGAAAATATCAAAGTATGTGGGCGTGTCGGACCTCTCTCTTGCCTGGTATAGTAATCAAAGTATGTGGACCAAGGTCAAAACCGACAATTGACATTTTTTATGCTATTTGCTCCAAACTCTAGATGGGGCTACTGGTAAAATTATGATTTTCTACTCCATTTTTAAGCTCTATGAGAGAAAAACTTAACCAAAGACTCCAAAGATGTGACGTGTATTTATTTATGTTCTTGGTTAGTCTCATTTTTCCGTCTGATTTTAGTGATTTTTTGTGGGCTTTGGCTTTTGGTTTCTGTTTATAGTTTCGTCTTAGTTATTTTCAAAATTGTGATGTTTTGCTTTTCTATTTCCTACTGTGTTTTGCAATAATTTTGGTGCTACGTTGAAAACTTCGCGAAAAACTTCATTGATTCACCATCATAAAAAGACAAACGGGTACAACAACTAATTGATAATCAATTTATCACTGGACTAGATTCCGAAATTATTTTTCACATAAGAGAGTAATACCACCATCTGTATTTGGAAGGAAAATACCTATTTATCATTGAATGAATAGTTAAAAGGATTCACCTTTTAATACAATACCTATATTACATTTGTCCTCGGTTAAAAAGACGTTTATAAAATATATAACTTTAGTGTTAATAAAATGTAATATCCTAATCTCTACTTCACATTTAAATTATTGATAGGTATTTTAAAGATTTGAGATTATATATCTATTTGCTCCAAGTAAGTATTCGTTAAATATGTATTATTATTTGTATTTATTTTTATCTAATAATATTTATTTAAGTTATTAATATATCTTATATTTATTTAATAATAATATGTAGAACCAACTCTCCACATCAGACCCCTTATAACAAATTAATTCCTCAAATTTGGTATAATCGACCTAAATTATTTTGTAAAATAAAAGTTTCGAACTTACTAGTTCCATTCTTTATTTTATAAAATAATTTATGTGGAAATCATTTAAAATTTAATTTAAAACTACTACCTACTCCTAAAAATTACAATTTGAATTTACCGCCATCTGTCAATTGTCATTTTAGTTCCAGCTCCAAACACAAGGTGGCGCTAATTTGGTTTAAATGTTTAACATTGGCGTGGGATCTCTAGAAGATACGTGCTTTGTGGTATCGACTAACCTTAAACAGATTGCCGGAAGATGATTTACAGTTTACAGTTTTAAATAAAATCTTGTTTCTATTATTTGCTTTGTAAACTGATAGATGGCGTAGAGCTCATGCAATGACCTTGCAGCAGCAATAAGTCTTCCAAAAAAATTATCTATTGCTACTTGCAACAGCTGATCGAAAGCGAATAACTGCGCAGACGTAGCTTTGTATAATATCAAATATCTTACCTTCTGAGGAATTCCTAATGGATCAATAGCAGACAACGTTAGCAATACACTACCGCAGGCGTATATCATCGATACATAGAAAATCGTATTGAATTTTCCCAAATAACTGTCTGAGATAATGGCGCCGAAAATTGGGAAGAAATAGCAGAACATATTGAAGGAGTGGTAAATGATTTTAGCATCCGCATCGGAATAAAAAAGAATGTTTGTAAGGTATAAGATGAGGACCGCTGAAACAAAAAGATTTTTTTAATAAATAATACACTTATACAGGTTGGCCCGATGAAAATGTTCCATAACTGTTATCAGGAATGGTGTCAACATTTCAGACAAACCCATCGAGATAGAATGAAGTAGAGACGACGTAAGGACCTAAACACTATTTTTGCACCACCTGCAGCAAATTCTCTCATTTTTAATTCATCTTTACAAAACCCTAATATGGTTACAATACTCTCACTCAAAGTACAATTAATATCTCAAATACGGCCCTGCACATTGTTTACTATGTTGTATATTTAGTTGTGGAATGTTATTTCAGATAATTTCTTCATATAAATATCTATAAGGTTGCTAAAAATACGTTGAGCACAGCAACCAATGTCTAACTTTTAATATGTACAATATATTTAGTTTGCAAACGACACAAAAATAGAAAAATGTTGATTGAAACCACGATTAGCTGTTTGAAGGATTCGTGATTGCAATATGGCGGAAGTGAATCCATCTTGGACCACGTGAGCAGGGCCGCCGAGAGCCAGGCTGGGTCCCAGGACAATTCTCTAGATCGGGCCCCGTAACAATTTTATAAAAAATATTATTTCCTCTTTACTTAAATTTCTCTAAAAAAAAGGTTCCCAACCAAAAACTTCCCCCTCTTGTCTTGTGCCGAACTTCTGAAAGAAAACAAAAATCCTCGCCACGGTTGCCGGGCCCCCCTTTGAGTCCGAGCCCCGGGAATTAGTCCCGGCTGCCCTTCCCTCTAGTCGGCCCTGCACGAGAGAGCGTCTCCCTACCTTCTACCTCCATGACACGTGGATGCATTTAGTGTAAGTTTATTTACAGAGCACCATTCCTCAATGTAACAGAGATTCGTAAAAAGTCTGTCACAATCACTCTTACAATTTATCACACAATATATTTTTAAATCATCAGTATATAACAAGCACTCAACATCAATTTTTTTCTAGAATATCATTAATGAAAATGTTAAAGAGTAAAGGGCCTAGACTGCTACCCTGTGGAACATCAGAAGTTGCTAAATATTCGATAGACCTGAATCCATTATACATTAAAAATTGCTTATGATTCGTCAAATACGACGCAAATAAAGTTAGTAGAGAATGGGAGACACCAACATTTTACATTTCCGTGGTCAAGTGTATCGAAGGCTTTAGAAAAATCTTTGTTGATAATATCTTTGTGTTCCCTTGTCAATTGCTTCAGAAAGGTATTGAGAAATATTTTTTCGTATCGTCATAGCATCTCCACTTTATTCTATCTCAATGGACAAACACTTAGACCACAGCTTATACAATACAGCTCCACAACTCCGTGTCGGCGTCTTTGATCTGGCGGTCGAGAACCAAACAAGACGGAATGGTGCTATCTCTGTTAGATTCGAAGGAAAAGTCGGGCCCGGATTAAACAATTTTTTTATTATTGAAAAAATTGAAAACTTTGGCGTAATAAGGTTGGTTACATGCCATATTAAGTAAGTTTTGAGAAATTAAATTTTTAATTTGTTTTAAATCTGTCAAATATAATTAAAAAAATTATTTAAATATAAATATTACGAAAAATAGCACCACATCTTCGGATTAGAGGTAAAATAATTTGTATGTGGCTAGTAAAATCCTCGTTAACAAATGTTTTGAGCTAAAACAGTCACTTCACGACAAATTGTGGCTTGGATCCTTTTTACACCAAGGGCTTCAATTATTAAAGAATTTTGTCACCCTCGTGGATGCAAATCAAGTGGTACCCCGTGTGTCTGGCAAGTGTTACTCTTCGCGCAAAGGGTTTATACCTAGATAAACGAATGCTTCGACTGAGGTCTGGAAACTCTATGGTATTTTGGAATTATAAAGAATTTTGTGCTTTTATTTTAACAATATTGGTTATACATATTTAGATGTATTCTTATTAATTGAAATACAGATTTGTAGAAGTAATACTTCGACAGTTTTTATTAATATATTCAATTTTTATCTGACCATAGGGAATTTTGAAACTTTATAGTAATGTGAAATTTGAATTACAATATTACACGAAATTACATAATTAGTACTTATTTTAGGTAGGTACTAAATTTGTACTTGGAGAAAGTAATATCGATTTTTACAAGAAAACTTGAAAAGTAAATTAATTTAGTTCCTATTTCTGATGTAAAACTTAAACCAAGAAAACAAATAAATAGTAGTTTGTTCAACAAGGGTGGATATGATAGCCATATCACACAAAGACGAAGTTTGAGCACGACGTCGTAGGCGGAGTACTCAATCGTCTGATTGTGATATGAATAATCCACTCGATATGGTCAGTATATTTTTTCTACGACTTACTAACGAAAATCTACAAATTAAAAAAAATATTTTAGGTTATTTAGACAAAATAACTAATTTTAAAATAATTTACTAAGTTGACTAATTTATAAAATAAAATAAACATGAAAAATTAATTAGTCCTCGGCCTAGATTCGATCCCGGGCTTTGCGCGTGGAAGGCAGTGCTCTGTCCTCATCTTCACCGAAACTTTCAGGACTTCAGTTTTAATACTCGTAATTAAATTAGTATCATGTAGTTTGATTAAAATTTATTTTTTTTTAAATGTGGACACTAAAAACAAAAATGCTATTATTTATCGAGTTTACACAAAAATTTTAATGTATATTTAATATCAATAACTAAAATATATATTGACAATTAGTTTATTAGAATTGTCATTTATTTAAAAATTTTTAAATAATAGGAGTTGGATGGGCAAAATATGAACTGTGATTTGTAGATTTAATTTTGTTAAAGTGCTCTCACTACCTAAAGTGGATATGAAATATATTCGTAGTTGAACGCAATAGCATACTTTTTCGTTTTGTAGTATGTGCGTAGATTGGCTAATATCCATGCACAGATTACAAAACGAAAAAGTATGCTATTGCCTTCAATTGAACGAATATATTTCATATCCATTCTAGATAGTGAGAACACTGCAAACAAAAAATAAATTCGCCAATCACCGTTCATATTTTGATCAACCGACTGCTATTATTTTTAAAATTTTAAATAAATGACAATTCTGTCAAACTAATTGTCAGTATATTTTTTATTGAGATTAAACATACATTAAAATAGGTTATTCTTTTGGAAAACGTTAGCATGGATGACTAAAGGGTATTGGGTTAATTAATTCTAAAAGTGTGGTATAAATGTTATTTTTTGTAGCCAATTCTTCAAAATTATTTTGAAATATCTTTTCAATATTGAATATTAGTTCTACAAATTCATCATTTGACAGTTGCAGATTTTCAAATGTATCTGAATTGGCGTTGTCATATGCCTTTAAAAAGCAATAAAAAGAAAAATTTATTTATTTATTTGGGTTACACCATCCAACAGTATAAAAACCAATTACAGGATGGGCACAAAAATAATTACAATTACAGTATAATTTACATCATAAAAATAATAACAAAATATTAAATACTAATAATAGCATAAATATATGTAAACAAAAAATAGTTTAATAAACTTTTTTAACCATCATAAGAAGACGCAAAAAAAACTCCGTTAGGAGAAAAAATTACGTTGTCTTATGATAATTAACTCAGTCCACAATTAAGCGTTTTATTTCTTTAATTGAAATAGAAAATAAATCAACATCATTTTGAAGTTCACAAAAATTTTGATACATAAAATACATTGGAGAAAATTTTAAAATATTTGTCCTGGGTGTCTGAAAATAGAAATAAAAAGGGGAGCGAGTTCTGATACTAGGAACATTAAACATTAGTTGACGAAGTAGTTCGGGATAGTCAATTTTAAAATTTAATAATTTGTAAAGAATGCAGATAGAATAACATTTCCTGCGAGTACGTAATTCAAGGATATCAAATCTATTCAGCAAGATGGTTTGCGGAATATTGCGATTAGGGTAGACGCCATCTAGCTTGCACCACAAATATTTGACAAATTTTCGCTGAATTTTTTCTAATGCTTGGCTATATACTTCATATCCAGGACTCCAAACAATGGACGCATATTCTAGCTTACCACGTACAAAAGCGTTAAAAATAGTTTTTAAAGTGTTAGGCTCAGAGAACTGGCGTCCATTTCGAATGACCCAAATTTCTGTATGCTTCTTTTTGAATAGTATTGACATGTTCAATAAAGTTTAACTTAGCGTCGAAAAGAACACCAAGATCTCTAAAAGAAAGACATTTATTGATGGTAATATTGTTGACAGTGAAATTATACTCAATCGGATTTAGTTTGCGAGTGAAGCTGATAGAATTGCACTTAGATATGTTTAGTGGTAAGTTGTTAGAATTACACCAAAGGTTCAATTTATTTAGGTTCTCCTGCATAATCAAACAGTCATCAATACTAGAGATTGATTTAAACAATTTTAAATCATCGGCATAGAGTAGAGTATTACATGATAGGTTTTCAGTAATGTCATTTACAAAAATGGAAAATAAAAGTGGTCCTAGAACTGAACCTTGAGGGACACCGGAAGAAGCTTTTATACAAATTGACTGAAAACCATGGTATTCAACTTTCAGTTTACGATTGCTTAAATATGATTCAAAGAAACGCAGAAAAGACGTAGTGACTCCAACAATGGAAAGCTTGTTGAAAAGTATACTATGATCGAGGCGATCAAAGGCCTTGGAAAAGTCAGTATATATAGCTTCAACCTGGCCACCCCTATCAAGGTTCTGCGCAACATATTGTGTAAAGCATATCAGATTGGTCTCTGTGGATCTGCCTGGAAAAAAGCCGTGCTGTGCCGTAGATATAATCGATTTTACATGAGCGAAAAGTATTTCATAAATGACATTTTCGAAAACTTTTCCAAAATTGCTAAGGATGGATATAGGTCTGTAGTTTTCTATGATAGATTTGGATCCTTTCTTAAAGATTGGACATATTTTAGATATCTTCCAATTGCTTGGAAAATTGCCTTCTCGTAAGGACATATTAAATACCATGGTTAAAGGTTTGGTTAAAATATTTGCACAATCTCTTATTAAAAATGCCGGAATATCATCTGGGCCTCTAGTATTTTTAGGTTTCAATCTTTTAAGACCTTTCATGACATCTTCTTCAGTAAGTAGCGGAATATTACAACTGTTAATATTAACAACATTATCTAGTTTAGAAATATCAATTTTAGACGAATTAGTGTACGATGACTGAAAATATGTAGCAAATGCACTGACAATGTCTTGTGAATTATTTAAAGGAATATCTAATTCAACGTGATCTTTGTTATATTTAAGACAGGAGTGGATCCGCAAGGCTTTTATTAAAAGGTAACCACACCTGATAAAATTTTTCTGTAGCAACTCGTCTTTACAATAATTTAGGGTGTTAATAATTTCATCGTAAAATAAAATACAAGGTGTTCCATTTAAAAAACATACATTTTAATTTGCCAGGCAAAAACGTGACAGCCTGTATATCCAAAGATATTTTTGAAATATGTAGGTATTTTTCAAATCCATATAACTGTTATTTAAAACTTTTTTGCGTGTCTACAACAAAATAATGAACAATAACGCACTAATGGGACACCCTGCATAAATTATATTTTTAACAATGAAAATTTCTTATAATGTGGTACTTATCGGTTTGGGTCCTTGGAAAAACTAAAGAATGTTTTCTTGCAGGTATAACCCTTATTAAAATAGCTTTTGACTGCACAAACAGAATGATGTCTTTTTTTCACTCATTCTACTCACAGCTAAAGAGTCACCAAAATAATAACAGTACCTTTAACTCAAACAAAATCAACGAAATTATAGGCTCCACGAAATTATACAATCAACGAAATTATACGCACGACTCAGCACCTTACCTGAGTACGCTTCTGAACGCCAAAACCGTCTTTTCCCTCCGAAGGCGGAGCTTAAGCGATGCGCGACGAAATCGACGCAAACCGTTGCCGCCAAGAGAGTGTTTTAGCTGTATTGTATAAGCTGTGCTTAGACTATGAAGACTAGTCTTCATAACTTAGACCCGTCAATTTTTATTATCATAACCTCAACTGTCTTATGGAAATGTAATTATCATCGAGTTAGTAGGGAAATGAGATCGCATGCCATACAACTATTTAAAATAATGTGGTACTACTAGATTGACATTAGGATGGTAACAAGATGGCTCAGGTAATACCGCTTCAGTACAAGAGTAGCAATTCTTCTCCCTACTACCTCCGTGATAATTACGAATAAAAAAATAAATAAATGAACAAATAGGACCAAGCACACTGCCTTGCGGTACATCAAAGTGACACTTGGTTTGGTGGAATTTGTGGGTTCATTTTATGGTTTCATGACTTATCCACTAACTATTTAAATTTTTTTCAGGAATGAAAAATGAAGGTACGCAATAAAAATATATCCAGTCCATCTTCAAGAAACATTTATTTCTTTTGAGGAGTAGAAAAAATTAGACCACAATATTTATCCTGATATTAAAATTTGATGGAGCGAATCATCATTTATTTTTTTTATATTTAACTAAAAATATAAGAAATAATAACAATAAATATAACAAAAGAAAACTAAAAATTCTAGTGCTAATTTTATGATGAAAATCTTCTCATCTCATCTCTAAAGTTGGCACCCTAATATCGATTTGATTAAAATATCTTCAAAACGGTTTCCTTTTAACTGAAACTGATAACATTCTGCATATGTATTTGATGAAATATACCCACTCATATTGCGTGAATACGATTTTTTAATTGTAGTCATGTACGGCTCATCGTCTGAAAGGGTTATTAAACATTTTTATTAATAATTAACTTTAGAATTTTCAGTTTTCTTTTGTGAACATTGAAAATCTTGGAACTTACTTCGCATTCCATAGTAATTGAATCTCTCGCAAAATTCATTGCTGACGATGAAAAATACTGATTTTGGGTAAGAACGTTTCTGCAACAAAAAAAGGATATAAACAAAACTAATTTTAAGTATTTTTAAAATAGACTAATGAATCGTTAAAAATAATTATTGTAAACTGAGAACATTTTTATTTTCAAACCAACAACCTTCGTTATGCAATAATTATGAGATAAGGTTACGGTAAAGTGGCAATTTTTTAAAACGCTAATAAAAAAAATGTACCTAGAGGCTTATACATTTTCCAGTCATAATTATTATAGCATAGTATACAAAAAAAATTATTTAAATAAAAGTTGTGTAGCTATTAAAAGTGCGTGGAACACTTCTACCAATATCTGTACGGACCGATCATGCAGCCCTTAAGTGGCTGATGCAATTTAAAAACCCGGAGGGTCAAATTGCCAGATGATTGAATAACTTCAAGAGAACGACTTCAAGATTAAACATCGAGCCGGAATAAGTCACAGAAATGCCGATTTTCTGTCTAGAAGACCGTGTCCAGCAGAGTGCTCCCACAGCAACAAAGCGGAATCCAAAGAAAGTGGACTACTAACAGCAACTGTAGTCAACGATGAGTGGGTCCCTGCTAAAATTAGGGAAGAACAAGAGAAAGATACCATTCTAAAAAAGATGCGACAATGGAAAGAATAAAATGGTCGACCTACTTGGCAAGAAGTATCTAATCTCTCTACACTACTCAACAAGTCTTATTTTAGCTCAGTAGGACTCTTTTATACTGGAAGATGGCTTACTAAAGCGAGTACTTGAAAATAATTATGGTTCCGAGAACAGAAGGCAGTTGGTCATTCCAAAGAGTAGAGTATCCGAAGTACTTCGTCAGTTACACGACAGTCCATCAGGAGGACATCTCGGTGTTAGGAAAACCCTTTAGAGAGTTTGGGAAAGGTTTTACTGGATGAACAGTTCCGATGATGTAAAGGACTGGTGTAAGGAATGTACCACCTGTGCTATGCGTAATTGACCTCAACGAAAAAGGAAGGCTCCCATAAAGCAATACAACGTTATTAGCCCATTTGAGAGATCGCTTTTGATATTACTGGACCATTCCTCGCGACCGAGGATGGTAATAAATACATTTAGGTGGTTATGGATTATTTTTGAAAGTGGGTGGAAGTCTATGTCATTCCAAATCAAGAAGCAGCAACTGTTGGAGATGTGTTAATAAAAGAGTTTATCTGTTGATTTGGAGTGCCCTTAAAGATCCACAGTGACCAAGGCAGAAATTTTGAAAGCCAATTCTTCCGTGGAATCTGTGACTAGGCATAAATAAAACCAGAACCACAGCATTTTATCCACAATCCGAATAAATAAGACCATTGGCAAATATCTGTCAAAAGTGGTTTCAAACCATCAGCGAAATTGGGATCAGTATCTTTCGCTCTTTGCAATGGCTTATAGATCCGCTGTCAATGAATCAACAGGCCCAAACACCAGCAAAGGTCCTGTTTGGGCGTAATATGAGACTAACGTGCGACCTCGAGTTTGGATGCCGACCTGGAGAAGATGTAGCTGGTGAAGATTATGTGATCCAGTTACGAAGAAGAATTAACGATATGCATGAATTGGTCCGCTGGCATCTTCAAATCGCCAGCGACAGGATGAAGGAAATGTACGATACTCAAGCTACAGAGGGGATGTTTCAAGGAAGGTGACAAAGTCTGGCTCCATAACCCAAAAAGGCAAAAGGGTTATTCTCCGAAGCTTCAAAGGTCTTGGGAAGGTCCGTATTACATCAAGAAAAAATCAATGATGTCATCTACCGTATAAGTAAGTACCCGAACGGTAAACCAAAGGTAGTGCACCAAAACTGGCTGGCGCCATTTGAGGGTAACCATGATGAGGAAGAAGAAGTAAACCAGCTCCAAGAAACACCTAACCTTGTCTTTGAAGAATTTATGGGTGCATATGGAGGTACCGGAAAAGCAAGACATGGTGTTACGAGCAAGCAACAACAAGATCTGCTCTTTTGCTCTCTCTTCCAAAAGATTATTCGTTGGTCCATAGTACTTCCGCCAGCATCAACGACGCGCGAGGACTGGCGTAAGAAGTTTGGTCGATTGCTAGAACTTCAATGTCAGTTACCAGCCTCTGGAAACGCCTTGAAACTTCAAGACGAATTGGGCTACCTTTTCTATTTGATAACGAAGAACACCTTACTTGGTTTAAGGGAGCATGTACTGGAATCCAATGTACAGAAGCTATCCATGCCGAAGATAGAAGAAAATCAGCTGGATTGGAGAATCATTAGGAACATGGTGGAAGAAATCTTTCAAGTCCAAATACTGGTCTGCAGCCATTCGCTCAGGTCCAGGTGACAGCAAAGACAGACCATTGTTACTTCCATGCAACTTAAAATTATAAAAGAGGGTTCAGTTGCAGATACAACCATTCCGTTTTAGTTTCGTAAGAGTTCCAGAAGGAACTATCTCTTAAGGAGGGGGCAATGTAATGCGAGCCATTTCAATATCCAAGTCCCTCTCTGTCTTATTTGGCCTTTGAGGCTCAACTTCTCCGATTATCAAATAAAGTATCGTAACAAAATATTAAATAAAAACACGTTTAAAACACAAATATTTTAAAAAATATTCTAAGATCACAACTGGCCTCTTACACATTTTTTCAGTAACCATGATTTTGTAGACTGAATAATTATATCTTATTAGGATTAAAAAAGAAGCACTAATACTAATTATAAAACGAGTATAAATACCATTTTTGAATATTTTGTCCAGTTTAATGCTTAATCATAATACTAATACAAATACAGTTCATCAAATTTCTAAAGGCTTTCGACGGCTAGACAGAGAAAGCACTACTGAGAGGCATCGGTTGGCGGGGCCGACGGATTTACGCAATGAAAGTACACTCTGCGCATCAAGTATTTCACTATTTTATTCAGACGTAAATGTCAGATGTAAATTTCGCTAAAACATTTCTTTTATTTTCGTTTGTGTTTTTTGCTCATTACAGTTTAATAGAACCTAAGTATGGAGTTTAATAGCAAATTAAGAGGCCGCGTGATTAACAGTCAATCTCGCGAAATAATAGCCAATGTTATAGAGTTTATGAGAAGAGAAGGAAACTTTAATTCACCTTCAATACCATTTAAAAATGTAAATGATCGTGTTGCTGCAGCCACAGGAGTATCTAAAAACACTGTCGTCCGCATTTCTGGAGAGAAAAAAAGAATCGATAACCGTGAGATATCAAAATTTTCATCACCAAGAAAAACCATTAAAAAACCAAAAACAGTTATTGATATAGATGAAGACAAAGGTATTTTAAAAAGTTTTATTCTGTTCATGTTAATCTCGGAAAATATTGTTCCAACATTAAAAACAATTCTGACTAAATTTAGAGAAGCTACAGGGTACAAAGGAAGCTATGAAAGTTTAAGAAAAATAATAAAGTCGCTAGGATTTCGTTGGCGGAAAACAAAAACAAACAGAAAAATATTAATGGAAAGGTTTGATATTCAAAAGCTACGTTTAGACTATCTGATTCGTTTAAAAAGTTATCGAGCAGAGGGCCGTCCAATTGTCTACTTAGATGAAACATACATTCATGCCTCCCACACACACCAGAAAGCTTGGAGTGATAATTCAAATGAGGGATTAAAGAAACCAATTAATGAAGGTGATAGACTAATTATTGTCCATGCAGGAGGTGAAATGGGCTTTATTCCGAATGCCCGGTTAATTTTCAAATCTGGAACCAAAAGTGGAGACTACCACGATGAAATGAATTTTAATAATTTTTCTAAATGGTTGAAAGAAAAGCTGTTTCCGAACCTCCCTCCAAGAAGCGTCATTATTGTTGATAATGCTCCTTACCATAATGTCTAGGTAAATAAAGCACCAACGTCAACTTCTAAAAAAGCTGACATGCAGGATTGGTTAAGGAATCATAATATTGCTTACGAAGAGGATATGCTCAAAACGCAATTATACAGTTTAGTGCTATTGCATAAGTCACGATTTAAGAGGTATGCAATTGAAGAAATGATAAATGAACATGGTTTTAGTTGTTTGCGTTTGCCACCGTATCATCCCGATCTTAATCCGATCGAATTAGTGTAGGCATCATTGAAACAATATGTAGCTAGTAACAACACTACATTTAAAAGGCAAGACGTACAACTGTTGTGTGAAGACTTTTTTGATACGTTTTCTAAAGAGGAGTGGCAATCTCGTTGTAATAATGCTAAAATGTGGGAATCTAAATTTTATGACAGAGAAGTAACTTTGGATGAGGCAACTGATAGATTTATAATTAACTTAAACAGTGACAGTGAGACTGATTTTGAATCTGATATGGAAACTGAAGAAAGTTTTTCGGAAGACCATTAAAATTATATCTGTACCTAAGATCAAAAAAGTATTATCTATTTTTACAACGAAGATGCACAAGAATCAAATTTTATTTTTTTATTATTAGATAGCTATTTTTGTTTCTGAGTTGTGTTCATTTACAGGCTCAATTTTTTTCCGTTTCTCCTTCTTGATTTTATATGGGGTTTCAAGTTGTTTTTGACTTATTTCGACGTAAATCACAACAACACACTTTTTTAATAAAGCAAACAAGTGTTAAGAGGTATATGTACGTGTAAACTACAATTACAAAAAATTGATATGAAACCACCAACAAAAATGTAAAGCTAGCTTCCGTACTAGAACATGATGTCATTCGTCGAGATAATTTATCGTTTTGTTTAATAGATCAAGAAATGTAAATATTCCCCTGTTATTTTTTATAAAATTATAAGAGTAATAAATTTTTTTCTAAATAGTATAGTTTATTATTTTGTAGAAAAACAAAATTTCGAAAATTTTAGTAATGTTTCAGAAACAACCGTTATTAATAATAGGTACCATTTTCCTTAATAAGGTAGAAATAAAATATAAACTATTTCCACGATTTACAAAGGCCTACAAAAAAATTATAGGTATTTTCCGCTATCCTATAAAATTTATATTATCTGACTGGCATAATAATTATTTTCAATTCTA